AGTCATAGCCTCCAAGAAGTTCACAATCAAGTAAAAATGACAAAGTCGGGAGCAAATAATTATATTGTGTGGCAAATTAGAAATAATAGAGGAGATAAATTATTTTTGTCAGATTTGTGGGAAGTTTTATAGGAGAGGAGTTGCCTGAGCTGTTTTAAAGGGTGCCTGTTCTCAAGGCAATGAGGTGATAAGTAAATACTGAAATCTTGCAGCAGCTTATGAACATATGGGGTCAAATAAATAGATAAGTAGAATTTTATAGCCAAGGGAACCAAGGCATCAGATGAGTTCGCAACAGCCCACAGAAATAGGCTTTAAAAGAAGTTTGTTCTTGAATGGATAGTCCAGAAATAAATCCATGCCTATATGGTCAACTAATATTTGACAAAGGAGGTAAGAAAAAAATATATATATATAAATTGGGTAAAGAAAGTCTATTCAATAAGTGGTGTTGAGAGTATTGGACAGATATGTGCAAGAAAATGAAAGTAAATAATCTTATATCATATAAAAAGTAAGCTCAAAATGGAGTAAAGATGTAAATGTAAGTTAGACCATAACATTCCTAAAGAAAACTTAGTAAAATCTCTGTCATTTCTCTAAACAGTATTTTATATATATATATATATCTTTGGGCAAGGTAAGTAAAGGAAAAAATAAACAAATGGGACTACATCAAATTAGAAATTTTTTTGCATAGCAAAGGAAACCATCAACAAAATGGATGATGCACTAAATGGGAAAACATTTACCAATCATACATTTGATAAAGGGTTAATACCCAAAATTTATAAAGAACTCATACAACTCAACACCAGAAGAAACCTAAACAATTAAAAAATGGGGGGAGGGCCCAAATAGATACTTGTCCAAAGAGAATATACAGATGACTAATAGACATATAAAAAGATGCTCAACTTCACTAATCATCAGAGAAATGCAAATTAAAACCCCAATGAGCTACCACCTCACACCTGTTAGAAAAGCTATTACCAATAAATCAACAAACAAGTGTAAGCAAGAATGTGGAGAAAAGGGAACCCTCATGCACTGTTGGTGGGAATGCAGATTGGTGCAGCCACTATGGAAAACAATATTGAGGATATTCAAAAAATTAAAAATGGAGCTGCCTTATGATTCTGGGTATATACCTGAAGAAACCCAAAACATTAATTTAAAAAGATATGTGCACCCATATGTTCATTGCAGCATTTATAATAATCAAGCTATGGAAGCAACCCAAGTGCCTGTCAACAGACAAGTTAGTAAAAAAGTGGCAGTATCTATGTATAGTGGAATGTTACCTGGCCCTAAAATGAATGAAATTGTATTTTTGTGATAGTTTTGATAGTTTCAAAATAGTCATGGGAATGTAAAGTACAGCATAGGGAATATAGTCAATAATATTGTAGTAACTGTATGGTGCCAGTTGAGTACTAGAAATATCTGTGAAACACTTTGTAAAGTATATGATTGTCTAATGAGTATGCTGTACTTCTGAAACTAATACAAAACAATGTTAATGTATACTGTAGTTGAAAATAAAACTTTTTAAAAAAGGAGTTTTGCCCTGGCTGGTGTAGCTCAGTAGACTGAGTGCCAGCCTGCTGACCACAGGGTCATCTGTTCAATTTCCAGTCAGGGTACATGCCTGGGTTGGTCAGGTCCCCAGTAGGGGGCGCGCAAGAAGCGACCACACATTGATGTTTCTCTCCCTTTCTCTTTCCCTTCCCCTCTCTCTAAAAAATAAATAAATAAAATCTTTTTTAAAAAACGAGAGAGTTTTGTTTTTTACATAGTAAAGTTACATTAAAGAGCTTTAAACATAAATTTTGTATTTTATGGAGAGAACTGTCTGTTGTATGAAGAGTAGATTGGGGTAAGAATGAAATGAAGACAGGGTGAGATATGGCAATAGGTCAAGTGAGTGAGAATGGAGGCCTGACTGAATGAGTGATGGGATTGGAAAAGAGACAATAGATATGAGCATAACTTGAGTAAAAACCATAGAATTTGGTGCTTGCATGTAGGGGACCAGGGAAAGGAAGTAGGTAAGCATACCTACAGATAGTAATTTTGTTAAATTTACAGTCTGTGGCTCTATCAGCTAAGATAGGGAAGACTGGAACAAGAGCAGGTTTGGAGGTTTGAGAGGAAAGAGAGGGGGCAAGAAGTAGAAAGAACCAAGATCAGTTTTAGATTTAATTTGAAGCCCCTTTACTAATCCTTTTAGGTGACCTAGGAGGTGAGCTATAACACTGTCCCTCAAGATCTTATTTGGTGCCAGTATCAGAGACAGAATAATGAGCTACATGTTTTAGGTATTTTTGGAATACTTAAGCTGAATTCAGCAGAAGGCCAAAAAAATCTGGAAGTTAAGGTCTTTATACAACTGAAGTATTCTAAACTAGAAGAAAAACCTGGAAATAAATTTAATTGTTGTTTTCTAGTATGTGTATGTATTTTCCAAATTCTTTAAATTTTAATTTGCATTTCCTTTTGACTTATATATATTTATATTTAGGGTTTAAATTTTTTAGTTTTTATATATAAATTGTTGATGACACCTGCATAAAACTTTCAGTAGCGGTTTTCTAAAACCATAAATACATGGTACAGTTTATAGTTTCTGTTTTTATTCAGTGGATGTTAGTGATTGATTTTCTTTTTAATGGAAGGAGTACCAATAGGTAGACCTAAAAATTGTAACAAAATAAATCCAGATTGGAGGTTAGTAAGATCTTAAGTCTAAGATTCTGTAATATTGAAATATGTTACTAGAAAAGTCAGTTACACGTTTTTTGTAAGAAACATCTTTATTTTTTTTTCTGAGATGTTTAAATATAACAGTGCTCAGAGGCACAAGTGTTGAATCTTAAATCTTTTATGTGGTGTTTGTGAGTTTCTTATGGTCAAAGTAGACAGGTCACAAAAACTCCTAACCTGGTTTAGATGGAATGTGTAAAGTAGAAGTATTCCTGAGTTGTGGTTTGCTGCCTTTTCAAGAACAGTTGTCAAATCTTTGTATACTTCTGATGCAGACCCCGGCTTGTGGGATCCTCGACATTGTGGATAGGGGAGAGACATTCACAGGGACTACTGAGTCCTGTGGAGGAAAGTGACAAGCGGCTTTGCTCTCAAGGGGAACAAAAGCCGAGGCCACTGCCATGACAGGCCTTTATTTCTTTTTCTAGGCACAGTAAATGATGGTCCTGATTTACTATGCACAGGTTCGCTTTAGGTGGTTACCTTTTACAGAAAACAAAGGAGCCAATGCTGCTAATCACATCACAGAAGAAGGATATTTGCAAATGAAAAGGCAGAAGTGGTTGAACCCTTGTCAATGGAAGGTTTAGCATGGATTTTAGGAAGTTACTTTGCAGTAAATACTTGCTGCAATTGAGGGTGAGGGAGTTTTTAGCAAAAGCAAGACTCAGAGCGGCCTGGGTACATTGCAAGCCTGATTCCCCACAGGAGAACCTATCTGTGGGCGTGGGTCCTGTGCATCTCCAAGTGGGAGCTGGGCCCACACCACACAGAACGATCTCCTACAAACTTCCACATGAGCAGTTTTACTTGTAATAAATACCTGCTTGAGAAAATATGCAAAAACTAAAAACTGTTTTGAATTCAGCAACTGTGTTGAATGAACTATTTGTTTTAAATGTATTTAACCACTACAGTACTTATCTGTGTTAACTTTGAAAAGTATTCCAAGTAATAGATTTTCAAATGACTTGCAAAAATTAGTCCACCAGAGGCCAGAATCATGGGTTGGGAACAACTAGAGAAAGACTCGGAGCTACTTACTTGGTGTTAAAATATGAGTATGGAATAAGGACAGTGAGTACCCTTATAATACCCTTCTCTATCTGCATCTGGTAGTGTTATGAGGCTTCTTTTTGGTGTGGGCTGTGTGTGTGTGTAATCTTCATGGGGCAGGACAGGCATTTTTTGTCTTTAAAATGTTGTTACATTTGAAAAAAGAAATTAAGCAATTGGGTCTTTGTCTACCTCTCATCTCCTCAGAAATATGCTTGTTATTGTCCTGGCTGGTGTGGCTTGGTAGATTGAGTGCTGGCCTGTGAACCAAAGTGTCACCACTTTGATTTCTAGTCAAGACACATGCCTGGGTTGCGGACCAGGTCCTCGGTATGGGGTGCAAGGAGAGGCAACCACACATTGATGTTTCTCTCCTTCTTTCTCCCTTCTTTCCCACTCTCTAAAAATAAAATCTTAAAAAAAAAAAGAAATGTGCCTATTACAGATGGTGAGCCATATCTACTAGATTCTTCTGATAATAGTTTTGGAATTTTTGATGTGTGAACTTATGCTGGTTTGTGTTTCATTTTTATTTTTCAAAGTGGTACTTAATATTTTTCTCTTCTTGAGTATACAAAAAAGTATATACTCACCAGCTACAGATAACCAATGTTAATAAGTTGATATATTTCTACCCTTAAAGCTAATTGAGATCATAGTTTTTGGTATTCTCTCTTCTTTTTAAAATCACTCAACTAATTTTAGTGTAATTTTTATGTCCTTAAACATTTTTATAAAATTTTGAAGTAGAAAAAAAGTTTATATAGTTGTATTATAAGTCAGCATTTTCCTAATATGGTCTTACTCTCATGGCTTATAAATTAAGAGTAATGAAGAATTGAACTACTTCTGATATGCTGTTGTTCCATTAAATGTCTGATATAATATACATGGGTAGGCAAAAGTAGGTTTCAGTTGTAATGCAAATAATACAATAATTAATAAATAATAATACAGTTTCACATACAACTGTAAACCTACTTTTATCCACCCTTGTGTTGATCCAGGATTCATCATTTATTTTTGGAGTTAATCACTAATCAAGTGAATTTGTAGTTATTTTATTGGTTCCATTCTGTGTATTCTCCCATCATTTTGGTTCTTGATGAATTATTATTGCTTCAAGTTTCTTTTTTCCTAAAATATTCACTAATTCAGATTTTAATGCTGATGTTTAGGACAAAGATGGCGATAGAGCTGTTCACCATGCAGCTTTTGGAGATGAAGGTGCTGTTATAGAAGTACTACATCGAGGCAGTGCTGATTTGAATGCTCGAAACAAACGCAGACAGACACCACTTCATATTGCTGTCAATAAAGGTCATCTTCAGGTTGTGAAGACTTTATTGGATTTTGGCTGTCATCCCAGTCTTCAGGTAACACCTTTAAAGAAATATATTCTGTAGTTATTGCGAGGATCTAATTAAAGGCAAGTACTTACCACTGAAGTAGCTTCAGTGGTAAGCATTCCTTTGTTAACAGTGCTTTTTTATATGATCAGTCATAGTAAGCAATACCAAAGGTATAGAACGTAATAAAATTGGCAGCTGTTCGTTCTTAGAAGAACACCTTTTTAAGAAACTGTCAAGTAGAGTGGTTTTATATTAATGGGTGAGAAGAGGGATTTTTTTGTAAAAATAACAGCTTTTGAATTGAGTTGGTTGGATTTAACTTTTTGATTGTGACATTGGACTTCAGCAGCTTAAAGAAGTACAATAGGCTGCATTTCTTAATAGTTTATAGCTATCTAAATTATTGTAGTTGTAGCCTTATTTAAGTGTTTTGGTCATTAGTAGTCATTAGTCTAGTCTTAGAAGATTGTCTGTTTTGGAAAATCTGTAGCATTTTAGGGTTTATTTACTATATTAGGACCTAATTTTTGAAGCAAGGGTTACCTAAGAAATGATTATTCCCATCCAAAATTTTAGCAACCAGATGAGTTAAAATTCTAAGACCAAATTGGATTGGTTTTAGAGAAGTAGTGAGGAACAGGAGTAATGGAACCATGGGTTTGAGAAGAACTGAAAGAATCAGAGATTGTGTTCAGCTAGATGGTTTTTACACACGAATATTTCCAAGATACAGCCATTTTAGAACTGACAGCTTCTAAGTGGATGGCAGGATTAGAAGACAGGGGAGGCATTGGGAGGTGTTAATCTGTTGAAGGAATGCAAATTTATACCTGTTGACTTTTTTTGTTTGAAATGGAAAGCAGAATTATTTGTTGAGAGTGAGTAGTGGTCAATATAGAAAGGGTAATTGAGAAGATTTTGGATGAAGGTTTGGGATAGCTACTGTGGGGACCAAGAGGCATAACAGATGAGAGCCTGTAGAAGTTTATTCCAGCCAGGTTAAGAGCCCATCTCAAGTTGGAGACCATGACTTTTTAGAGCCATAGGAGGATAGAAGGTGGATTGTTGGACTGAATTTGTTTTAGGAATTTCTTATGTGGGTGGATGAATGTATGCCTGGGATTGGCAAACTGTCTGTGAAAGGCCAGGTAATATTTTTAGCTTTCATATGATTTCTGTTGTAATTATCCCATGCTGCCATAGTAGTATGAAAGTAGCCATAGATGGTTACTAATGAATAGTAGCTACGGTAAATGAATGTATGTGGCTGTGTAAATAAAACTGTTTACAAAAATAGGGGGCAGGCTGGATTTGGATTTGGCAAGCGTGATATATGCCATAGGTTAAGCTACATGTGGCTTTACTGAAAATAGTACTTATGAAACTGTGAAATGAATGCAGTCTAAATTACTCATTTATGGAGATGACTGATAATGAATAACAGCTTATTGCTAAAGCAGTTGATTAATGAAGAAAGTAATCAGCTTGAAACAAAGGTAGACCAAGACTGCCAAATTTTCTTGTACATTTGTTTTCAGGTTGAGTTAACTAGTCTCTTTCCTACCCTTTGAAAATGTTTAGAGTAATGATTCTCAACTGTGACTGCACAGTATATTTAGCTGGAGAGCTCTGAAAACCTACTGATGCCTGGGTCCCACTCCCAGAGATTCTGGGTTAGTTGGTCTGAAGAACAGCTTGGGTATCAGTGTTTTAAGAGCTTCCTAGCAGATTCTAAAATTCAGTCAGAGTTGAGAACCACTGACTTAAAAATTCATTGCTGTGGAGCCCTGAGACTGGTGTAGGTTTTGTACGGAATTCCAGGGTACAACAATTAATGGTAGGAATATGGTATAGCAGGCCATTTTAAACTAATAAATTTTTTTGGCCACTGTTCCACCTCATTTATTTTCGTTATTTGCTTAATTATTTTGAGGGTATTTAATTTCATTGATTTTATTTGCCCTCTTCTTTGGAAAACTACAGCATGTTTATTGTGTCTAACATCTAGATTGGGTATAAGTTTATTTAGTATAATGCTGTTTCTTGCCTGCATTTCTTAAGTTTAACACACAGATATGTTTTATTGATGGTTGTTAGATATGGCCTGTTTTTGTTTCATTGTTTAGTAGTTCATTTTAAGTATTAATAATTACATGTGATGCCCTGGCTGGTGTGGTTCAGTGGATTGAGCACCAGCCTGTGAATCAAAGGGTCACCAGTTCAATTCCCAATCAAGGCACATGCCTGGGTTGCAGGCCAGGCCCCCACTAGGGAGGGCACGAGAGGCAACCACACACTGATGCTCCCTCTCTTTCTCCCTCCCTTCCCCTGTGTCTAAAAATAAATAAATAAAATCTTTAAAAATAATAATTACATGTGATGACTGATTGAAAAAGAACTAATGAAAATCTTTCTAAACTTAAAAATAAGGATTCTGAAGGTGATACCCCACTTCATGATGCAATAAGTAAGAAACGTGATGATATCCTGGCAGTTCTTCTGGAAGCTGGAGCAGATGTTACCATTACAAACAATAATGGATTTAATGCCCTACACCATGCTGCGCTAAGAGGAAATCCCAGGTAAAGACGCTGCCTGTCACCATTTTATATGCAATTTAAAAATACTTTTTTTGTTGCTGGTTCTCTTTTTCTGATACTGACAAAATAATTTTAGCTTATTTTAGTATTTTAAATCATGTGTTTTTTTTTTAACTTTTTAAGGATCAACTCTAGGGGGTGAGCACAGAGAACAAAAGGATTTTATTGGTCTTGCTTGTTGATACCCATAACAAGGGGTATATAATGACTGTATTTTAGATTATGTCTTCATTTATTTTTTTTCAAATTACAAATACTCAAATACTCTTATCTTTTGGCATTCTGAAGGAGACAGAATAGTATTGTATGTTCCCTGCCTTTCAGATAGAAGACGATGATGATATCACCAAATGTCAGGCCTTTACTAAGTGGTTACATGCATTATCTCATTTTAATCCTTTAAAAGATTTTATTTATTTTCAGAGAGATGAGGGGAAGGAAGGGAGAAGGAGAGAGATAGAAATATTGGATGTGCAAGACACATATCTACCAGTTGCCTCTTGCACGCCCCACCTGGGGACCTGGCCTGTAACCCAGGCATGTGCCCTGACTGGGAATCGAACTGGTGACCTTTTGGTTCATGGGCTGGCGTTCAATCCAGTTAGCCACACCAGTCAGGGCTCATTTTAATTCTTTGAACAGCCTTTTGAAGCAGGTGTTAATATCCTCATTTTATGGAGGCTTATAAAGAGATGAATTTACTTATTTAAGATCATGCACTGACTAGTGGTACAGCTAGAACTTGAGCAAGTTCTGTCTGACTTTGGACTCAGCTCTTCATTACTTTAATATTACATTTTCTGTATTATGAACTATATGTGAGATAAGACTGAAACATACAGACAGTGAATCGTTTAACTGAGAATGTATTAATAATGTTGAATCTTATTGCTGCCTCTTTGATTAGGGTTACTTTGACTACTCTCTCACTAATTCTGAACTTCCGATTAGTTCTAAAGTTGTATTTATTCTACAGGTCTTTCTGATCCATTCCATTCCTTCTATTTTCATTGTTGCTGACCTAATTAAGTTTTGACACTTTTTACTTAGACTATTGCAGCATCTTTCTAATTTTTCTCCCTGATTTCAGTTTTATCTCTGACTTAATTTTCATATAACTACCAAATTACCATTTTAAAAATGTAGATCTAATGGCTCCCCTCTTCTGTTCCCAAATCTTTATTTGCTCTCTATTGTACATAGAATAAAATCTCTATACCTTGACTTGCCATTCAAATCCATTTTCAGTGTGTCCTGAAGTCTAACTCTCTCTCACTAAACAAAAGTCCGATGCACATTACACTACATTCCTTTCCTAAGATTGTCTGCTTTCTTCCTTCATACTTAAGCATTTTTTTCATGAGGATGCCCTTATCCCTCTTTTTCATCCTAACCATCTTTCTTCCAGTACCCCTTGATCTAATCATTGAAATTACTTTCTGTTTGCCATATACTTCCTTGCCCTGTGTTCTTATTTTATTGCACTTACAGTCTTCTTTGTGCTGTCCCTTAGTATGTGCGTTTTTATGTTCTTATCTGTTCAAGTTGTGGGCACTCATATTCATCTGTCTGTTTCCCCACAGTGCCCTGGCTGTAGTAGGGACTCTGTAAATGTTATTCTTAATTTTACAGTCAGGACAGTGTTAGATATCACTAAAGTATATATGGTTAAATACAAAATAAATTCTGTAGAGAAACTGTTAGGAGTTTAAACAGAGCAATTACTTCAGATTAAAATGGGCAAAAAGGTTTTATTGAGGGGATTTAGATTAAATATTAAATTGTAAAGTTTAAGATAAACTGAAAATTTAAGAGTTTAGGAAATGAGTAACTTAAATATTTTGAATTGTTTTCACTTTATTGGAAATAAGCATAGTATATTTAATAATGCTAAGTTTATATACAGAGGAGAAAATATACTACTTCTATTTCTTCAGTTTTTGAGAATTCCCTTAAACATTTATCTGTCACCTCCAGACAGACATTTGGTGTCAGGTGACATTTTTTTAAAAAAGGGAAAAAACCCACTTTCATTTTACAACAAAGCGGTGCTTCAGGTAAAGTGATATGTCTTCTTTCTTCTTGTTTTCTTAAGGCATTTTATGTGGTTTTGACTGTAAGTTGCAAGATAAAGAGTATGATTTTAACTAGCCACTGAAAAGTATCAGAAAATTGTACAACATATTTCAGTTGTAATTGCAAGTTGGGTTGTTTTGAGTTGTTTTTCATATCAAATTTCTTATTCTTAAAATTCATTTTTCTTGTATTGGCCTATGATGTCATAAAACAGAAGGAACCATTTTTGGTATACTCAGAATTTTTTTAAAAAGTCTTTGGCCCTAATACTTACTTGGGAAAACCTATTATGGTATGTTATTATTTCCAGAACCTCATGACTTAGCATTTTTTGAATAAAATATTAAATATTAACAAATATGCTAACATTTTCTCCTTCTAAGCACTTTATGATTTATATAACCTAATGAATCTATTACCTTGAATCAAAACATTTTAACCTGTTATTTGTCATTGTTGATTAAATTAAAGTTACACTTCTTTAGTACACTTGGCTTACCTATTAGACTTCATGTGTAGACAGTTTTAATTACAACTGTGGCGCTTTAGTTAGTATAATTCTTAGCTATTTTTAAGTCTTTTCTTTTGTTAGAATGTTTGTATTTTCTCTACAGTAAACTATTTACATCATTTTGAATATAATTTAATACCAGCACAAATATTTACTTATAATTGTTTTAATTTATTTTGGTTAGTAATGTAGGAAAATTTCCAAGATTTGTACATGCCATGTGTACATGTCTGGAATTTAAGTAGCTTTCTATTTCCTAATTTTGCTTTTAGTTAATAATAAATTTTCAGCAATAAATCAATAACATAATCAATAACACAGTAGACTTAATTAATGGATGTGCTTTTCCAAAAGAAAACATGTTTTCCTGGTCATCAAAAATATGTCTAAATGTCTGATGTCATTGAAGAATGTACTTTGCAATCTAGATTTTAAAGTTGTAGGTCAATAGAGATTCCAGCTTTCAAACCAGATTTTGGTGTTTCCTCATAATATGACAGTAACTGAAAGACATTAAGAGAAAGAGTTATAAAGCATTCTTTTCTTCAGAATTGTGGAAAAGAACATGTTTTGCTATGAAACACTGAGTACTTTGGTCATGCTTTGTAAAGTTTGGAGCATTTTAGAATGCAGTTACAGTATGTTTTTTTTTTTTTTAATTTTATTGTAAGCAATGTTAACTATAGACAGTGCTGTTTATATATTCCAATATTTGATATTATAGAATTTCTTTCCTTACAGTTAGCCTTATTACCTTTTCTTTTATATGTACAGGTAAATTTTCATATTTAAATGAAGAATAGAAAACATTCCTGTTGTTAAAAGTGAAAACTAAATTTTTTTTGATTAGTAACATTAATCAGCACATTACTTAGGTACTTTCTGTAAGAATGTTGCATTTTTAGCTGTTTTTAAGTTTTTAGAGCTCTCTCAGGGACATGAAAATAAATTAGTATTCTCTGCAGAGCTTTAAAAAACCAATTGATAGGTATGTTGGAGGCACTGATAACAATATTATAAATTTACCTTAGTGTTATTTATAAATTTTTCTCTAATATGAATTGAATGTGAAAAGTAACAGCAAAATATGAGTGAACTACATGATATATTTTCAGATTAGTGCTAAGATAACTTCACAGGCATTTCTTATTTACTTACCTACTTACTCCCACAAAGACATGTACTAAATCTTACTGAATATGTGAACAACTCATATTTTCCTTGTAGAATATTATGATACCCTTATTTAACTTTGAAAATTCTGAGACTGTAAATCAGACTGTTGAATATAGAAAGATTTGATGATCTGGACCATATCTTGGGTGTGTAATGGTTTTCTTTTCTTATAAACTCTAAACATGCTGTATATAAAAAGTAGCTGAGAGACTATCAAATGATAGAATGTCTATTTTCTCTTATATGTGTCCATGCATTTACTCTCAAACACCATGTTCCTGGTAATACATAAATATATTTAATGTGACTGACAGGTGTATTTAATACAAGCAAGAAGGTCTATTATTAACTTGAGTGAAGCAATAAGATTTATTTATGGATACATACACCTCCCTTTGCCCATATTCTTTTAGGGGTTGATCTTTACTTTGAAATGGAGGAGTAATTAGGAGTTGAGGATTGTGTGAGCATTTAGTTTTTAAACCACCGCTTGCCATCAGTAACCCTTCTTTAATTGCTGATATGTTTGTCTTTATTTATTAAAGAACATTACATCATCTATACTTTTATTGCTGTCAATAAGAAAATTAGAGTAATATTGGATCACTTGTCATTTTCTTCTTCCTTCATTTTCTTTCCATTGAGAGAGGCTCGTTGTGTATTTTTTTTGTGAAGGATGAAGAAGATAGAAAGAGTGAGGAAAGTCATAGAATGTTATTACTAGAAGAGTTTATTTTATAACTGAGGAAACAAGTATGGAGAAATGAATAGCTACACAAGTGAACGGAAGCAATCCTTAGCATTTTCTTTCTTTTTTGAGGATTGAGGACTTTTGGTTCAGGATTGGAAGAATTAAATATTGTTTGTCTCTTCACAAGATATTCTGCAGTATCACCATCTTTTTTACCTTATTTATCAATATTCAGGTAAATAGCAGTAGAAGTAAATGCTAATTCTGTGGAAGATAGTGACCCCAACATTTCTAGTGTTATTTCATGTAATGTTTTATTTTTCTTTAATTTAAAATATGTGCATGTGAACCACAGTATGGCATTCTTGTTATGGTTTGAGGAAGGTTTTAGGTGACCTTCCCAGATAGTCTCTTCCTCAGAAGGAACTTTATTATTATTGTTGTTGTTATTATTATTGTTATTATTTTAAAGATTTTATTTATTTATTTTTAGAGAAGGGGAAGGGAGGGAGAAAGAGAGAGAGAAACATCAATGTGTGGTTGCCCCTTGTGTGCCCCACCGCCAGGAACCTGGCCTGCAACCCAGGCATGTGCCCTGACTGGGAATCAAACCAGCAACCCTTTGGTTTGTTTGCAGGCCAGCATTCAATCCACTGAGGCACACCAGCCATGGTGGAAGTTGTTTATTATTATTACTATTATGATGATGATGATGATGCAGCATAGTCTATATTTCATTACTATTTCTTTTCCATAGGGTAAGACACTTAATACCAAGAGACCATAAATAAGTAAAATTGTTTTATTTGTAATCCTTGTCATCCACACATTTTTCATAAAGCTTTTTATAAACACTGTTAACCACTATAACTCTTACAAGAATTAACAGTAACAATATTTTTTTAATTTAAAGCAAAATCTGAATAATTTAGATAAGTTGAAGTTAGTTGACATGTCTGACACTCATAAGTGAAAACACTGGCTGTCTTGTAGTAATCAATGCATAGCTACAGCTGGTTGAAGGGGACCAAATCCATTGAAGAGGCGATTTGGTTCCATTTTACCAGCTCTAGCAAAGCATTGTGGTGGTGCTAGTTTAGGTTCCAAAATAGTTAAAATGCTTTTTATTTGTAAAATTATAGTTATGGACCTTCCACAAATGTTAGATTCTTATATCAGTACTTCAGTCATTGAATGTAGAATTTTCTATTCTGAAAGCACTCTTCCTACTATTTCCAGCTCTAAAAGTGCAGAAGTCTTTGCCCTTTAACATGTTGTTAATACATTAAGGAATCATCAATATCATCTTTGTTTTTAACACCTTTACTTAATTCTTAAATGTAGACAATAACCTATTTCAAAACCAACAACATTTAAAAGAACAAATAGATATTGACGCATTTCAGAGTAATTTTTTACACTTATCGCTAGACTGTAAACCAAGTAACCTAACAGGTTAGGAAAAGAATATTGCTAGTCATACTTTTCTCATGCCCCTGCTTTTTTAGTATTATACTTGAGAACTAATAGGAAGTTGCTGACAGGGGGTGGAGGAATACGAGTGGCTTTAAGAAAGGAGCTCTACCCTTTTGTTTATAAATAGATTGCATGTGTATTCAGTGTATTACTTGGACTTGTGTTGAAAGGAACTACCATGCATGCCAGCTTATTTTTCTTTGTTTTTACTTATATTGTATTACTAGTCACAGGTTAGTAATTTAACCTTTTTAAAAGTCTATTTCCTTGACTCAATTCTCTGTACAGATTGTCTCATTACTCCTCATTATCAGTTTAATAATACGTTTGAGTTATGGTGGGTTAGCTATAGTCCATGAGTTTGAGTATTAAAATATACCATTAAAATTCCATATAGCAAATTTTTGTTACAATATCAGTTGCATTTCAGTATCAGGAAGGGAAATCTCCTGAAATACCTTTGGTTAAAATAAAAGTTTGAGAAATTATAGTTTGCCTGTGAAAGTAAGTGCTCTCAGTGAAATAAAAGAGTAAAGAAATAGTTACTGTTTTGAACTAAACTGGGAAAAGGTCAACACTAATTCAGGCAATATTCAAATAATTCTCATATTAAGTTTATTCTGCATTTGTTGGTTAGTAAGTAGCATGCTGCTGGTGAAATTAATATAACTACAATTTCTCCATCTTTTATTAGAATGGAAGTGAAACAGGTGTTAAATTGCCTGGACTTAAGTGCCGAAGATAGCAGCAAAACTGGCTTCTATTTTTACTAGTTATATGGGAGCTGTTTAGCAGATCCAGTTGCTCAAGTGTGCTTTTGGATGGCAGTTCAGTTTCATATACTGGCCATATCGGGGCAAGGAGAGGCCATGGAAAAAAAAATAGTGCAGCATTTGATAATGTCAGCATCTGTTATCCCTGTCAGAGAGACAGTTGAAATGTTTGAGTTACACCAGTGTCAGCAGATGCCCAGAGTTTAATATGTACTAAGTTAAAAATGAACAGCTGACCTAAGTGATGAATATGACATTTTAGAGTGATTGAAAATACTCTTAGATATGCTAAGTTAAACTTGTAAGCACTATAATCAGTATGTAATTTTACTTTTTAAAATGAATAACAGATGCTGCCCTTTTATTTTCTAAGGATTATATATACTCTTAATATTATAGCCACAAGATTCTTAGTTGCTGGGATATTTTAAATTAAAAACTTTTATGCCTGTAGAGTAATGAATATAATTTTTCATTATGAAACATGGGTATAGTAATACCCTTTGAATAGTTTTATAGAGGAACCTCTACTTTTGAGGTATATATTTTCAGTTTTTGGTATTTAGGGCACATGTAATTAAACTTAAATGGAATACGACACATTGCCATTCTTTTTGTGGATGATCAGAAAGAAGGGCTATGCTTAAGTGTTAAGCTTTGAACTGTTTTTTCTTTGAAATGTAGAATTTTAAAATTATGAGATTTTTATAATTTCCAGTAAGCATGCAGCAACTTACATGCTATCATATCTAATATCATCTCTCATTTTTATAATCTGATAGAATGAAAATCACTTAACTATCAAGTTATCTTATTAAACAGAGAAAAATTAACTATAGTTAACTTTGTAGCCATTTTTGTTTCACTTATGAAACACAGAAATTTTAAAATATTATGCTTTTTATACATGTGTAAATATTCCAGTTCAAAGAATACTTTTAGTAAGAAATGATTAGAATATTAGTATTAGTATTTCTTTTTTTTTTTTTAAGATTTTATTTATTTTAGAGAGGGAAGGGAGGGAGAAAGAGAAACATCAGTGTGCGGTTGCTGGGGGCTGTGGCCTGCAACCCAGGCATGTGCCCTGACTGGGAATTGAACCTGCGACACTTTGGGTCGCAGCCCACGCTCAATCCACTGAGCTACGCCAGCCAGGGCAGTATTAGTATTTCTTTTAATGTATCTATCATAATAGCTAAAATGGATGTTGCTTATAATTTGTTGAGTTTAATTTTTATTAATATATAAACATAATACAAAATAAATTTTGTATAAAATAGAGACATATTTTGATATCTCTAATATACAGTAAATAAAATAAGTTCATCATGGTTATAATAATGGAATTATAATTGCATAGTACCATTAAAAGAAGGTTGTTCTTTCTGTGTAAATTGTTTTCTTTACTCTAGTGTTTTCATTTTGTGTGCCCCCTTTGGATAAAACAAATTCAAAGTTTAACAAAGATAATATATTAATTTCTTTTAGGTATTTGGCAATCTGTTACCAATGTGCCCTGTTGACTTCAAACTGTGGCCCAGAATTTTGTCATTTTTCTTGCATAAATCTTACATTTTAAGTTATTCTAAGTACTAACTTAGTGTAAGGACCTGATAAACTTGAGAAAGACAAGGACCACTGTTTTTTTTTTTTGAGGGTAGAATTTTACTTAAAATATAGTCTTTTAAAATTATGACTGTGTCTATAGCTTTCATAAAAGAAAACCTAAAACAACAAAACTTGCTTCAGGAATTCCTTTAATATTAATTAAAAGTTTATCAAAATATGAAGAATAGCTATTAAAATGTAAATGAAACCGCTTTTGCTGTATCTTGTTCTTCTTAATAAATCAGACAACCATACTGTGACATACTTAAATTAAGATCAAATTGTAGAAACAGAAACTAGGTCATGTGTATCTGTCATTCTTTTGTGCTAGTAATACTGGGGGTTCTTTTGGAATTCAGATTTTAATCATGTGAGTATTCAATTTAAAAATGTAAAATGTCTTATGTTTTAAATATAAAAGATTGAAAAGGGGTTTTATGATAATTTTAAATCTATTTCAGTAGAGCTTTTTTCTTTCACAAAATATAAATCTTAGTGACATTTAGTTTTCACCTGTAAGAAGTAGGTGCATTTTTATGATATTATTATTTCCAAAGGTCATCTGTTCAGTTCTAGGTTAACATACCATATGAAGGTCATTCACATAAAAAGAAGCAAGGGCTTCTTTTAGCTGAAGCTTATTTCTCTCTTGGCGGTTTATTGCCTACCAAAAATACATACTTCTTTACATTCCATAGCATTGTATGTTCATATGGGTACATAAAGAAGTATGTACTCTGAGTAGGTATTACTAAGTTGTTAGCTGTAAAAACATAAAATGTTTTGTTTTCCCATTTGTTAGTAAAACATTCAGCTTACTGATGTAGAGCAATGGTAGATCATTTACAGAGACTATGAAAGACTAAACTTCGTAAAAATTTACCTGAAGTATTGCATTAATGCTATTTATGGTTCCTTGTTGGTGGACATACACTTCTAAACACTGACCAGTTATCTGTTGAACTTTGTTCCGGTTGGTCCTTTTTGCAAGAGATTCATAGAATCAGTGAAGTTTTACAGAGTGTATTTCAGAAATTGGTAAGATCAACCTAGTGTTTCTTCAGTGTTTTCAGGATGAATTTCTTCTTATATTGTAGTTTGCTTCTAGATCCTACAAGTAGATAGTAATTAATTTGGTACAGATTCTTTTTACAGACTAGATATCTTAATAAAAACTTAAAGTATTAACCAGTTAGGACTTCTTTTGATAATGTCCCTAAAGTTGAAATGACAAGGAGAAAAACCAGATCTTTTTAGAGTATGAGTAAACTGAATTTTTTAAAGATGATGAATTTTTTGTTGTTTTTTTAAAGGTTACAGATAAGAACTCGTGGTCATTTGAAAACCTCTTTGTCTTCATTAGTTACTAACCTGAATTTTACAGTTTGGTGCTTCTCTTTGGGTTAAACAAAATTTTGGGTTAAACAAAAATTCAAACAGATGTATATAAATACTGAATTTTGGTGAGTTGAGCTCATTTGATCTTTTTTTTTAAATATAAAAGATAACTACCAGAACAGTTAACTTTTTCAAAGTCTTACTTAAAAGATCTGAAAGGTGTTAGCCCTGGGTTTTAGCTTGATCATGTCTAATTAAAAGAAATAATAGTTGGTGAGTTGCTGTTAATTATTATGGTAATAAACAGTTAAAAAGAAAACTGTAAGAAATTTTCAGATGTGGGAAAGGAGAAAAAAAGGCAGGGAAAGAATTTCTGCAGCCTGTGATAAATAGCTAGTATAGCTCATAGAAAGCAAATTAGAATGTGGCAGGGGAGAGCCCAGTTCTCCAGACAGCAGTGTCAGTCAGCATTGCAGCATTAGAACCTCACCTGGCATGTTCTGGCTTATTTCTGTGGCCAACTCGGAGTAAGTATTAAAAAGTATTTTGTGTCTAGCCAAGTTCCTTGGTTGATTAAACCCTCAAAAAGTTAATGTTTTTTAAAAGATAGCATACTTTGTAAGCAAGGTGTAATTTACTAGGAATGCAAAATCATGTAATCTTAAACAGTAAAGACTAAATCTTTAATGATGTAAATGACATTAATGGATTTGTACATTTTTGAGATCAAGAGTTATCTGCCATGGTATTTGAGCAACATTCCCTTTTATACTACATAAGCTCATACTTGAACTGTGAAATTAGACTGGGACCAGATAGAATTTAACTTAACAGTAAAAGCATATATATTGAGTCAATAATAGGTAAGCATTATAAGCATCCCTAAAAGTACAGGCCTTATGGGTGCTCTGTTACCTGAAAACTTAGTGTCATGCAGCGTTTGCAGCAGGAAGAGAGATAATAACCTAGAGAGTCACATCAGCAGCAGCCATCTCATCTTGATCGGTCCTTCACTCTATCCGCTGATTCAGCACTTCTTTTCGTGAGCCGGTGAGGTGAAGTAAGGGGGAAGTCAGTGAACACAGAATCCCTCCTTTTAAGATAAATTTGAAAAACAAATGAACAAAAATGTATCAGCCAGCTTTACCTCTCCCTACCCTTAACTCTTACAAAGAAAAAAAAAAACAGTAAAATTGAGTCAACATTGGCTATTTGATTTGGAATGTTACATTATCAGTATTACACAGATACAAGTACCTTGTATCTGCTGTACAGAAAGTTAAGGAAACAAGGAAGATTGCTACCTCGCTTATTTCTCAGATGAAATGCTTCAGAAGAGGGGGAAAAGTTGCAGAGCAAGTTAATTTATAATCTAAAAAAGATGAAAAACCAAAAAACAACACACACCTTATTCCTCCCAGGTAACTATAAGCATTCATACTATTTTCCTTTGCCCACCAGAATACACTGGATTCTTCTGCTTCTCAGGAAGTAATTCTGCATCTTTCTTGCTGTGAAATTTTTTTTGTTTGTTTTCAGTTTCCAGGATTAAATGGTAAATCTATATTGAAGCTACCTTGTCATATCCAGAGGTCAAGTCTGCAAGCAAGGTCAGGATTTCCACATGGTCACTACAGAGGTTAACTTAAATTCTTCCCTCAGTGAACACAGGCTAAACTGTTACAGCTTTATAGGCAGCTAAGCATTTGAAACATGCACTCCCAGGCAAACAGGCTCTCTTGTGCCTCTCTCTTCCCTGACCATATTTAGTCAACCATAGCAAAAAATAGTCTCTCAGCTGTCGATTGTCGATCTAAAAGCTGAGGAAGCCTCTATCTTGCTTTCTGCCTATTGATTGTTCATCCTGTGGTCCAAACACTGCTTTGCCATTTGTCCTGCCCTTTTTTTTTTTTTAAAGCACTGCCAAATAAAGCGATCTCTCATTTTTCCACTTACATTTCTCAGATTTTCACTGAGCTTGCGCTGAGACCAGGAAAGCCCGATGCGGCTGTCACTATACTTAGCAGTACTGCAGAGAAAATAGGAAAGAGGAAAAGTATTAGCCTGGCTAGTAGCAAGGCAGTCTTTAGACAGATATAGAATAGGTAGAATATCTCTGCTGTTAAATTATATTTCATAACCTGATTTTTTTGTTGGTTACAAATATTAGGGATAATGACATTTTATGTAGCTAGAGGTCTGAAGGGATTTTGTAGTGTTACCTTTAGAGCTAGTTGTTGCTATACAAGCTTTTTAAATTTAATGAATAATATTTGAATGGAAAATATGTAGAAATGGTAAGTAGAACCCTGTATATTGAAGGTGGAGATAGATCATTAAGGAAGGAGGGAGTAGTGTGTAAATGAAATCTTTGAAATGCTGCTTAAAATTTAATTGTGTCAATTTTAGCTAATTTTCTTGTAGTGCTTAAGTGAACAGGACCAGGACCAGGAATGCTTTTGAGTAATTGTGCACTTCTATATTGAAACTATATACACATATATCACTATTAACATGCATTTTATTATTAATTAAATTCTATTTCATATTCAAATGTGAAGTACTGTTTTTCTCCCTTCTACATTGCCATTTCTTTTAAATTTTTTTTTTTGAAATATCATTTAGGCATGATCATTTCACATTTTATTGCAGACTAAAATAGATATTAACCTATCTATAACTTTGGCACATAGTGTATGTCTCAAAGGAAAAATGCTTTTGCTCTAAATTTTAATAGCATATTCACAATAATTTAAGATTAAAATTTATTTATTTTAACCAAGGAGAAAAATATTATAACATCAAGTCCATTAAACCTGTGGAGATAAAATTTGAGATCTTATGAACCTAAAAATATCCAAAAGGAGCCAACTATACCTTGTTCTTAATTCAAATATATTCTCTTAAGTATTAAGAATCAAGAAAAACCGTTACCAATACTCTAAGCTCATTTTTTAAAAGATTTTATTTATTTTTAGAGAGGGGAAGGGAGAGAGAGAGAGGGAAAGAAGCATCAATGTGTGATTGTCTCTCATGTGACCCCTCACTGGGAATCTGGTCCACAACCCAGACCAGGAATTGAACCGGCAACTCTTTAGTTCAGAGGCTGGCACTCAATCCACTGAGCCACACTAACCAGGGCCTAAGCTTGTTTTCTTACAAGGGTAGTTGTCCTTCACACTGTTTTTGTCTTTAACATTTAATATCATAGCAGTTTAATTATTTTGGATGGCTCTTTTAAAAACAGTGACATAAAGCTTCTGTAAGTATTTGGTAATTTTAAAGACTCAGCTCTTCCTAGATATTGAAATGATTTTATACCTATTGTGAGATGATGACACATGTCTCAGAGTATAAAGTAGGTTAATTTTCTGGTGTCTAAATTACCCCATGTGAGGGAGAGAAACATTGATGTGTGAGAGAGAGACATCTATTGATGGCCCCTTGCACTCCCCAAACGTGGGACCTGGCTGACAACAGGCGTAGGCCCTGACTGGGAATCAAACTGGCAACTTTTCAGTTTGTAGTATGACACCCATCCTACTGAGCTACACCAATCAGGGCTTCCCCTTCACCCCACTTTTTATTCTAGCAAACACTTACATAATGTATTAAATTGTACTCTTTTAATGTATTAAAAGCTACTTTTCTAAGCTCTTTTTAATTTTCATAATAACCCTATGAAATAGAATTTGTGATTCTTCTAACATTTTATGGATGAGGAAACTAAGGCACAGAAGTTAAGTATTGTCTACTAAGGTCACCAGCCATTCAGTTTGCTAGTGCCAGAATTTGAACCCAGGTGGTTTTGCTGCGGACTTCCCAGCTCCTCACCATTATGCCTTCCTTGTTGCTGTTCTGGTTTGTAATAATGAAATCAGTGGTAATCAGTGATTACCCACCACTCTTTGGGACTGGAGCATACACCAAAAATACAATGTTGCTAAAATCCCTCCTTCAGTATATTCAGAAAGATGATTGTTTATTTGACTGTTCATTTGTTCCATTCAACAAAACTTTGAGCTTCTTATACTAGGTATACAAAGGGGATATAAAGATAAGTAAAATGAGGTTCCCTGCTTTATAGCAAAGGAGGAGCAATAGGATTTACTGGTCATTTAAGAGATAGTTTTAGTTGTCTTTATTTTAAGAATGATCAAGTTAAACACCTGTACAACTCTCCTGCAGTTTTTATTGTCATTGCATATCTGTCTCTCTTTCTCATTTTGAACTAAATTCTACTATATTACCAACTTCCTAGTTAATAAATTTAAGCTAAATTATTGAACTTTTTAATTATAGTATATGTCAAAAAAGAATTTGTGAGAACAAAAAAAGCACAGCAAAAACAAAATAAAAAAAATACATTTAAGTAACCCTGATTGGTGTGGCTTAGTTGGCTGGGCACCATCCTGCACACCAAAGGTCACCAGTTTGTTTCCCAGTCAGGGCATGCCTGGGTTGCAGGCCAGGTCCCTGGTCAGGGTGTATATGAGAGGTAACCCATCAGTGTTTCCCTCTCACATGGATATTTCTTTCTTTTCCCTCTCTCTACAATCAATAAAAGGAAAAAACATTTAGGTGATGCCTATTCCCTGTAGTTCTTTAATCTATTTCTCTAACAAAAACCATCTATATTAATTTATTAAAGTGATTACTATGAATAGCATTTTTTTATATTCTAGACTTGTCTGCATCCATTCAGATAAGGGTATGCATTGAACAAAAATGTGTTGAGATTGTTACATGCTAACCTGCTTTTAACATGCCCAACAAGACTTCTGCTTGGGATTGATCAGTTTTGTTAATGAGTCCCTTTATGGATTTTGGACCAACATGCTTTAACTGTTGTTTGGTGGATTGTTCATTAACTTAGCAAGCATTTATTGAACACCTTATATGTGCTATAGTGCTATTCTAATGTCTTTCATATTAAGTAATACTAATATGTAAGGCCTTTATAGTTTAACTCCTATGGTTTATTTGGAAAAATGTTGCCTATTTCTGAAGATAGATTGCAAAGAATGGCAGGCCCTAAAAATGGACCCAGAGCCATTTGACTATCACATACCACCGCAGACAGCTGCTTGTCCCCTCTGCTCATTTGTTCATCATTCAGCAGACGTTTGAGTATTGCCATGTGCCAGGGATTATGCTAGGCTCCACTATTAGTTGTTCTGGAACTTAATGCTTCTTTGGCACTGTTCACAAATGCCTGCTTAACTGGTAGTAAGATCTTATCTTAAAACCATCCATGTCCTTAACCTTTTGGGAAACAACCAGATTGAGAAATAAAAAAGAGTGTTTGAGCATTAGGGAAAAATATCTCAATATCTCAATTTTTCATATACTGTGCTCCACAGGTGAGAGTCTGTTGGCTTAATAAAGTTATTGATTTTTTGAGCCTGTACCACTCTCATCCTGGCAATTCTATGGACCTCAGTGCTTGCAGCATAATACCAGTCTCTTCTTAATAACTTCAGGAGCTGCAGGGAACAGCCTGCAATTGGATCTTCATGGTTATATTGTGGATTCTTATGATTATTTACCCCATGGACAAAAAGGAGACAAGCCACTTGCAGCTGGTCTTAATGTGAGGGTGTGGGTACTACTTTCCCTTAAGCTCACTTTGCAGTTTTGTAAGATCAGCTCTTCTCTTGAAGCTTTGTATTATTTGTTTTTGTTTGTCTGTTTTTTGCAGGGTGGGTGGTAGGCAGGTCAGGAATTAATATTAATTAGCAGCTTTCTAATTAAGATTAGAGGGTTATAGGTTTCTATTAAAATTAATATACCCCAAATCTCTATTGTAGAATAATTTCAACTTAATTTATGTTGCTACTCCATCCTGAAGGAAATAGAGCATAACTTTCCACTTTTTAAGTGTAGGCTGTGCATAGTGACTTCTTTCCAATGAGTATATAGTATAGTATAGTATTCTGTAGTACAGAAAAAGGGAAAAACGATTACTGTACAGTGGAGAAACCTGCCAAACACTGCCTCAGCTGGATTGTCAAGGTGAACATCAACAGTGATAAATCATGTTGATAATATACATCCTTGATGTGATGTGATGAAATGGCACTTTACCTTTGTGACTTTCCTTCCCAAAACTTACAGCCTCAGAGTAGTAATGTGAAAAACATCCAATGAATTCCAACTGAGGAACATTCTGTAAATATCTGATTAGTATTCCTTAACTGTCAAAGTCATCAAAAACAAGGAAGGTCCAAGAAACTGTCACAGCCAAGGGGAGCCAAAGGAGACATGACAGTAATGTGGTATCCTGGAGCAGAAAATGTACATTAAATGGACTTTAGTTACTAATACTGGTGGTTGGTTTATTATTTATAACAAATGTACCATACTAATGTAAAATGTTAACAGTAGGGGTGAGGAACTCTCTGTATTATCTCCACAGTTTTCTGTAAATATAAAATGGTTCTAAAATAAAAAGTTTATTTAAAAACAGTAACCACAATAATTAATCTGCGCACTCCTGGCTAGTTGACAATTGACTTTTGCATTCACTTTGATTTGGGGCTATCTGTAGTGTTTCTCCTCATCTTATACCAATTAATCAGGAGTTGATTTTGCTCAGTTATCAACAAAATATTAAGTTTAGCCTCATGTACTTTTAAAAGTATTTTAAGGTGAGAAACTGTATTTTAGAGAATTTTTATAAGGACCAGTCTTAAGATTTAGTTATTTAAAAAGAAGCTTTTTAAAATTTGAATGCTGATAATTTTGAACTTGTGACAGTTGTGAAAGTCCAGATTTGTATGGGGATGTTATAGAGAGTAGGTTTTGGAAGGGGGCTGTTATAAATGTTTAAAGCAGTGAAAGCCTGTCTAAAAGTACATTTGGTTCCGTGAGGAAGAATTATTTTAGTTTTAAAAGGGAAAATACATAGGACAAATTGAATGTAGTAGTAATAAGGGAGGGAAAGGTCTGGAATGATTCCTGGTTTGTGACTTGGGTAGCTGGTTAAATGGTAATAAGATTAACCAAAATCAAGAATATAGGAAGAACATTGGGAAGAGGAAAAAAAGGGGGGAGTTTTTACTCTGTAAGGTACAGGTTTATAATCTTAGAGTTGTCATAATTATTACATTGAAGAGTACTAAACATTTTACCTATATTATCTTGTTTAATTCTCATAGCAACCTTACAATATTTTATGGAGATGTCTATGGAAGTTCTGGTATTAGATATGAATCATGACCATTTGTTGCAGTTGGAGATATGAAACAGATTATGGGTGAGCATGTGTAATTGGGGTTTCACAAGGTCAGGGTATGGACCTTAGCCTTAAAGATCCAGAGTAATTAGACTTCAGAATAATCAGAATAATACTAATTAATTTGTAACACAGTGATGTGTAAGTCAACATGCCAGTGCTATTTACAGAGAGAAATATTCTTCTTAAGTGGATGGTGGTATTCACAGCATCTGATCAGTAGCTTTTTTCCCCCCTGCTAGGGGAAAAGTAAATCTATGAAAAGCTAAATTAAAATTGGAAATTGATTGGTGAGCAAGACAATTGGTGGGATGATCTTAATGGATGCTATCATCAACCTGTGATAGCTTTCATATAATAGTGTACTAAACACAGCATTTTTCTGATTCCACTGGAAGGCAACTTGGAATACTTAGGCTGCTTGTCCAGGAACTTTCTCTGTTGGATAATGCTGCCTATACACAACAAATTCTTTTTCTCACTTTTTTCTCCCAGCTTCATAGAAACCATTTCTTCACTTTCCTAAACCAGTCACTACTTTTTTTAGAAAAAGACATATTTTAATCTTTTCTATTGTAAAAAAAAAAATATTTTTATTCCAATTGGACTTCTGGCTCTCTCCTTTTACAGATCTCTTTTTCTGTAGTTGTTTGTTATCTGTATGTTGCACTTACTTAATTAACTATTGTCTGACCTGATGTATTCATTCATTTGCCAATATAACACTGCTTCTATGGGAAATCTGAAATTATCATTTCTCTCTAAAATACCTTGCTAGTATTATAATACATTTTTAATAAGTTTAAAATGAGTCAGTCATATTAACTAATGTCAAATTTCTATCAACTTTTATTTTTGTGATATATTTCTTAATCTCAGGATTGCTTAAAAGGAACACGGTTATTTTCATATGGTTATTCTGTAGTATAATTTACAACATGTATGTAAATGGGACTAACATTTATTCTGCAATAAAATCTTGCGCTCTAAAAATGTGAATTTTGCATTTTAACATTAGAATTTTAATTTAATTGTAGAATTTAATTTACTTGTAGAATGTGGTCTAGAAGGGGCTAGGATTGTTTTTATCATTTCCAACAGTAGCCTGAAATTGCTACTGTTCCCTGTTCTGACAGTTTAATTGCACATATTGTACAAAGAGAGTTAAAAGTAAAAAGACAGTGAAGTAAATGAGAGAGCAGAGAGGCAATAGGCTTGTAAGAATACAAATATATTTTTTGTTTAAATGTCTTAGTAACTTCCTGGCCCATTGGCTTTCCTTTCTGAGGGACTGTAGCTTTCCCTAGCTTGTTCACCTGGGAAATGCAAGACCGGAAGTAATGGCTCGCCCCAGCTCAGCAGGCACCTTGTACTCAAATGGGGAGTCACTCCTGAGTTTTTGGTAGTGTAATATGGGAATGTACCTCTGAAACTGGGAGATGGTAGGAAATGTGGTCCCATAAGAATCAGCTTTTCAGAAATATAGAAAATGTTTAATAATGTGACTAATAAAAAACTGGATGGAATTAACATGAACCACACTTTATAATTTAAAACTCATAACATATATCTTGTCTACAAGGGTAAAGTGGCAAATTAAGAAATTTTTAATACAGTAAGTTTAAATATTAGTGTTTTAACAAATTTTTTGATAAAATTAATATGTATGTATTTAACTCAAATACTACCACAAAGGTTATAATGGAGAACTGTCTTCTGCCATACTCCTTTTTATCTCTTTGTCCCGCTACCAAATAGCTTACAATTTATTCTGCAATTTCTTAATGTATATCACAATTTTTATTTAAATTAATGTGTTTACATTATTTTTTAAAAGTACATCTTATTTTTAATAAAACTTTTCACATGATTTAATACTTGCATCTTTAAAGCTGTCAAAAAATCATAAAACTCCTATAAATTCTGTGTATTGCATGGCCAAATGTGTAATAATGTATGGCATTAGTATCATGATTATGTCAAGTCCAAATGTTTAGAAGTATAATGTTGTATGAGTACTTTTCCCCATTAAAAATCTGGGTCAGCCCTGGCTGAGTGGCTCAGTTGGTTGGAGTGTTGTCCAGTACACTAAAAAGGTTGTGGGTTCAGTTCTGGATCAAGGCACATTACCTAGGTAGTAGGTTCGATGCCCTGTCTGGGTGCATACAGGAGACAACTGATCGATGTTTCAGCTATTGTAAATAACACTGCAGTGAACATAGGGCTGCTTTTGCTCTTTCGAATTAGTGTTTTGGGTTCCTTTGGATGTGTTCCCAGGAGTGGGATGGCTGGGTTATAAGGCATTTCCATTTTTAACATTTTGATTTTGAGGTATCTCCATAGTGCTTTCCACAGTGGCTGCACCAGGCTGCATTCTCACCAACAGTGCAAAAGGGTTCCCCTTTTTTCACATCCTTACCAGCAGTTGTTTGTTGATTTATTGATGGTAGCCATTCTGACAGGTATGAGGTGATATCTCATTGCGGTTTTGATTTGCATTTCTCTGATGATGAGTGATATTGAGCATCTTTTTATATGTGTATTGGCCATTTATATGTCCTTTTTGGATAAGTGTCTATTCAGGCCCTTTGCCCATTTTTTAATTGGGTTGCTTGTGTTTTTGGCATTGAGTTTTGTAAATTCTTTATAAATTTTAGATATTAACCCTTTATTAAATGTATTGGAGTATATATTCTCCCATTCTGTGGGTTATTTTGTTGATGTTTTCCTTTGATGTGCAGAATCTTTTTAGTTTGATGAAGTCCCATTTGTTTATTTATTTTATTACCCTTGCCTAGGGAGATATATCTGATAATATATTGCTATGAGCAATGTCCAAGATTTTGCTGTCTATGTTTTATTCTAGGATTTTTATGTTTTGGGGTCTAACATTTGTCTTTAGTCCATTTTGAATTTATCCTTGTGTGTGGTGTAACAAGGGGGTCTAGTTTCATTTTTCTGCACACATCTGTTCAATTTTCCCAACACCATTTATTGAATAAACTATCTGTAGCCCATTATATATGCTTACTTCCTTTGTCAAATATTAATTGACTGTAAAGGTGTGAGTTTATTTCTGGTCTCTCTATCCTGTGCCATTGATCTAATGTGTCTATTTTTATGCCAATACCATACTGTTTTGATTACTATGGTCTTATATATAGTTTCATTTTAGGTAGTATGATTCTTTCCATTCTATCTTGATTTCTATTCCCCAATCAGTGACAGTTTGTTTACCTCTTAAATTATCAAAAAGTGTATACTTGAGACTTAGAAAAGTTGAATTTTTCTTTGTCTATATGTCTAATTCTCTTTAAAAAGGGTTGTTTTCATTTGACTTCAAAAGTTGCTAAAAATAGTTTTCTCCAAAAACAAATAATTAAATTTCAAATTATGTAAATATCAAAATAACATAAATTTGATTTTCAGTGCAATGCGTGTTTTACTCTCTAAATTACCAAGACCATGGATTGTGGATGAGAAGAAAGATGATGGTTATACTGCCTTGCATCTAGCTGCCCTTAATAATCATGTGGAAGTGGCTGAATTGTTGGTACATCAGGTAGGAAAACCAATTAAAAGATCATTGCCATCCATTTATTTATTAGTTCAACAACCTCTAGTATATTACAGTAAAATCCCATGATGATGCAAATTCAGAAATAGTGAACATTCAGTCTTTGGGTAACCACTCATTGTTAAATGGAGGGAAGGGTGTGTGTGGGTGTGTTTGTACCTCTCTGCACCGTCTTCCTGGATTGGTCCAATGAAATGAGCATCAGCTAAAAGGGATTTCCCAGAATCACAGCCACTGTTGTGGAAGTATCAATAAGCCACAGGACCAAGAACCATCATATTGATTTCTAAGCTGGTATGGCCAGTTCCCATCAAGTAACACCAGGTTGAAGCCAGGATCTGGGTATTCAGTTAATGATTACTGCTGGATTCCCAGAACCTGTAGCCTGGATAGTAGGACATGCTCACTTTAGTCATTTCATTCATCTTAGAAATAAGTTTTTATGGCTGAATTTTTTTGGAACCTATATGATGTTTTGGTATATTCGGCAAATTTTTAAAATGCTTCAGTCAAGTATATGCCATATGGAAGCATGGAAGTTATCAAAGAATTATCTTTCATCCCTGACTTCAAGGAATTTACAGTTAAGAAGATGAAATAGCAGAAAAATGTAGGAGATGGTACTTTATGTGTAATTAAGCCCCAGATCATAAGATATACCCTCCATAAACGACACAAGTTTGGATAAAGAAATAGTTCAAAAGTTAAACTACCTTTGCTCTGACATTTTAAGCTTTTATTATTATAATTAATTCTCTTAGAAGTAATGTAAGTTATGATACATTCTTTTTCATTCTAATCTAAATGGCAGCCCTTAAGCCAATACTGCACTGCCTTGTTGTTGCTTTATAGTAAGACTTGAAATCAGTGAGAGTAAGTCTTCCAACTTTGTTCTTCTTTCTCAGAATTGTTTTAATATTCTATATCTTTTGATTGTCCATTTATATTTTAGAATCAGATTGTTAGTTTCTAGTAAAAAGTCTTTTGGGATTTCGATTGTTCTTGTACATATATCTATCTGTAAGTTTTGATGCTATTGTAAATTGTTTTAAAATTTCATTGTATAATTGTTTATTGTTAGTGTGTAAAATATAATTTTTTTTAGTATATTGACCATATATCCTGTGACATTGCTTAAATTACAGTTGGTCATTAGGGAAACATTATATAATCACATTGAGATATTACTAATCATCAATTACAATGATTAAATTTAAAAGGCCAGAAAAAACAAGTGATGATTAGGATGTGACACAGTTAGAATATACAAACATTGCTAGTGGTTTTTCAAAGGAGGCATTGTGAAAAACAATTTGGCAGTTTTTTATAAAGTTAAGCATATATTCACTATACAACCCAGCAATCCCACTCTGGGTATGTATCCCTTGGGTACATACCCACACAGATACTCATCATACTAAGTAGTTGTAGCAGCTTTATTTATAATAGTCCCAAATGGGAAGCAAGCCAAATGTTCATCAGCTAGTGCCTGGACAAACAAATTGTGGTACATCCATACAATGCATATTACTTTGGAAAATCTAAATGATGGAAAAGTTCAGTAAACTTGAAAAGGAAGTTCCTTACTTTCTGCATTTATATGAGAACAGACAGGATAAGAAAACAAGTTGAGATTAGGTACCTCATCATTCACTCAAAGAAACAAACAATAAACAAATTACATTTGCCAGAAAATGTCATAGCATTACTGAAGTTTCAGCTCTATCTGATGCTCAAAGAAAGGGCACAGTTAGGCATCAGAGTTATAATTAGCATAAATGGTTCTAAGACATAAACAGAATGATAAAGTTTATCTTCTGAACTTGTCTTTTTCTTAATTTCCTTTTTTTAAAAAAAATGTATTATGCTAGATATTGTGTTAGGCAGTTTTGTATATTATTTTTTTAACCCTGTGAAATAGGTTGTACTATTACCATTTTGGATCTGAGAAAATAGGCGTAAAATGGTATAATGCTTGCTTAAGTTCATTTCACAAAGCTTGTAAGTGACACTTGAATGTAGGTTTCCTGGTGCCAAGTTCATTGCTTTTGCTTCAGTCCCTGTCCTCTATCCGTGACTTCAGCTGTTCTCATACAGTCCTTAGTCCTTTAGCTATCCCAGGACTCAGGTGGGACATTCTGCTCTTCCTTTGTATGTATTTTTGTATACGAATTAAGTGTTGTCTTCTCACCCTCAAGCAAAGTTCCTTTTCACTGAAAGTGGAAAAGCTCAATTATGCAGCAAAAGGAAGTGACCTTGTTAGATCATTAAAGTATGTCTAAATCCCATATGAAGACTCATTCATAAAACTTTTCAGGAAATATTTACAGTTAAAAGGTGCTGATTATTTCCATTGCTTTGTAATGGAGATTGAAAAGGATCTGTGCTTATATTTCAAACTTGCTGTTTTACTTCAGAAAGTTTGCTGCCCTTTTAATTCTTCCTGTATTACCTGCAACTGTTACCATATGAGAACATATCCCAGCAGCTAGAGGAGTGGAAAGTGGTCAACAGAATTCAGTGTTATTTACTACTCCTAAAGAGTTACAGTTTTAGTGTTTTTCACTGTTGTCCAAGTTTAACTTTGTAAACTTTGGGTTTTTTTTTTTTCAGGGTAATGCAAACCTGGATATCCAGAATGTAAATCAACAGTCGGCCCTACATCTTGCTGTGGAACGACAACACACGCAGATTGTTAGGGTAAAGTGTTTACTAACATGAATCTTAGTTTATAGTGGTATTGTATTTTAACCAGATTTCTAGAATGTTTTGAAAATTAAACGTATTGTTAGATTTCTCAAGAAGCATATAGTTATATGTAAATGTTATGATTTTAGACTCTTTTATATTGGCTTCGTTTACAGCAGGGAAAAACTTAAAATTCTGATACTCAAAATTTTTATACTTTTGTTGCCTGATTTGTGAATTCCCAGAATATTAAATCAGAGAATTTCAAAATAACATATAAATTAGTTTTTAAAAAGGGCACTCCCTCTTGTTCTGGCTGGTGTAGCTCTGTGAGTTGGAGCGTTGTCCAGTAAACTGAAAGGTTGTGGGTTCAGTTCCTGGTCACTAGGTTGTGGGTTTGGTAACCTGGTTGGGACACGTCTGGAAAGCAACCTGATCAATGTTTCTTTCTCACATCAGTGTTTTTCTCTTTCTCTCCCTCCCTTCCCCTCTCTCTCAAATCAATAAGCATGTCCTTGGATGAGGATTTTTAGAAAAGTACATTACCTCTTAATATATAATTGAGACTGAACCGTAATTAAAAGCTTTGGCTGGACATTGTCTGACAGATTCCAAAGAAGCTGAAATAAATGTATTTTACTAATCTGGTGATTCCAGACAAAATATTTGAAAGATTATCTGTTTTAATTTTTTGATAGAGCAGTGATTCTTAAAATTTGGCCACTGAACCCACAGCATCAGCATCCCTTGTGACCTTAGTAGAAAATAGAAAAGTAAATTCTTGGGCCTCACCTCAGACCAACCAAATCTGAACTTCCAGGGGTGGGCATTAGCAGTGATCTAAAATGTTTTAACAAGCCTTCCAGATTATTTTGATACACATTCAAATTTGAGAAACACTGCTCTGGAATGATATTCTGTGTTACCTTTTTGTAACAAAGTAAAACCAGGTAAACAAATAACGATTTGCCAGAATAGTTAAGACTGTATGTCTGAGATTGGGTCTGTGTACTTTGGTAGCATTTGTAGAAAGGATTAAGAAAACTGTCAAAGTACCATAAGCAAAGTGTTGCTCTGGCCAGTGTGGCTCAGTTGGTTGGAGCATTGCCCCATACACGGAAATGTTGCAGGTTCAATTCCCAGTGAGGGCACATACCTAGGTTGTGGGTTTCATCCCTGGTTGGGGCATGTATGGGAGGTAACCAGTCAGTGTTTATCACATCAAAGTTTCTCTCTCTTCCTTCCTCTCTCTCTAAAAAGCAATGGAAAAATGTCCTTGGGTGAGGATTAAAAAGAAAAAAAAGCACCATAAGCAACGTCTTAAATAAAGTTATATCTACTACTTAAAAATATCTATTGAAATACATCAGTTCTAAATTTTGTTGTAGTTTAGCAAACTTCACATTTATTGTTCTTTACAATCCTTCTTTCTAAAAATTCTTGATTTATCTTTGATATTTGGACTTCCCTTATGTGTATACACTTGGACAAAATTGAGCAAAGATAATGGAATAAAAAATAACTTCTTGTTTGTTTAAATAATAGAAGAATTTTGAACATTATGAGTTGGTCCTTTTGTAAGTAAAGTATTCCACCTCACATGTTTGAAATTAGGAAAAAACATCTTAATTTTCCCCCAGTTACCTTGATCTTACAGTCAATGAATTAAACAATACATTGGTTCTCATTTCCTTCTGTTTTCTTTAATTCAGTATATTTGAATAACTAGAAGTCATCACTATTTGTAAGGAGCCACAGGGCTGTTAGAGTAGTAGCAAGCAAATACTTAGGAATTATTAGCTTTAGTGGCAGCCCCTTCAGGTAGGTAGGCTCTCTGAGTTATTTTATATATGTTGTAATTTCTTGTGGGTGAGGATACTTTAGCAAAATGAGATGTCTTTCTCTTTTAGCTTTTGGTCCGAGCAGGTGCTAAATTAGATATTCAGGATAAGGATGGGGATACTCCTTTGCATGAAGCTCTGAGGCACCATACCTTGTCTCAGCTACGTCAGCTGCAAGATATGCAAGATGTGGGAAAGGTTGATGCTGCCTGGGAGCCATCCAAAAACACAGTGAGTAAAGATAATTTTTAATTCAGTACCACTGGAAGTCATTTTCCTATTGACTACTGATATGGAACATCATTCAATGCAAGATCTTATGTTTATGGCTGATTTAACTTGTATCTGATAAAATATTTTTTCAGAGCTATATATGTAGAAATTTAATTTATGCACTAAATACTAGTCAGAGCTAACTATATTGCTTCACATTCTTCCTAGAAGTTGCTTGGTTCTTCTTTTTTAACTTTAGCTCTTCAAGTAGATGTATTGTGGTATTTGTTGTGGTTTAATTTGCATTTCCCTAGTGACCAGTGATATTGAACGTCTATTCATGGGCTTTTTTGCCACCCACATCTGTTTGGTGAATGTTTGTTCATGCCATTATTCATTATTTTGTTGAGTGTTTTCTTAGTATTGAGTTTTGAGAGTTGTTATAAAATCTGAATGCAAGTTCTTTATTAGATATGTGATATGATGCACATGTTTTCTTACAGCCTGTGGCTTGTCTGCATTCTTTAAACAGTGTTTTAAGAGCAGAAGCTCTTAACATTTGAGTAACTATTTTTTTCATTGTTTCTCAGTTTCTTGTGTTCAATCTGAGAAATCTTTGCCAAACTCAAAGTTAATAAGGTTTTCTTCTGTTTTGTACTAAAGGTCTATAATGTTTTAACTGTTATTTTTAGGTCTGTGATTCATTTTGAGTTATACACACACACACACACACACACACACACACACAATTCACTTTTTTCTGCTTGTGGATATCCAGTAATTCAGTACTGTTTGTGGAAAAGAGTGTCTTTTTATACTCAATCACCTGTTGTATGCTTATCCAAAATCATTTATCCATATTTGTGAAGCCTTTGTGGATCTGATACTCTGTTCTGTTGATATGTCTTTAGCTATTGATTTATGTCTTTAGCTATGTGATGGCAACCTGCTGTCTTGATTACTGTAGCTTTATAATAAATGTTGAAGTCAGATAGTACAAATCCTCTCACTTTCTTCTTCTTCAGAGTTGTTTGTTCTAAGTCTTTTCACCTTTCCATATGAATTTTAGAATTGTTTTTAAGAGTGTAAAGGGGTTCTAAGACCAAAGTGTTTGAGAATTGCTGCCTTTTTATATGACCATGGGTAAATTCTCTAACTCCAGTTTGCATTATATTTTCTTAATTTAAAATGAGGGGAAGGGAGTAACTACCTTTGTAAAGTTGTGAAGATTGCATTAATTTATTCATGGGGAAAGTGCTTGAAATAGTTCTTGGTTTATAGTAGAGACTCCATGAATGTTAACAGTTATTCTGACCATTTTCAGATAAGATGTTTGAATCGATAGTTCAGATTATATCAGAACCTGATTTGTCTCATTCTCCATTTCTTGGTTCAACTCCTAGGTATTGGCTCTTTCTCACTTATCTCTCCCTTCATTGTTTTGAGTTGGTTGCTAGCAGCTCAGGAACCAAATTGAGTAGAAGGGAAAGTACTGTTTCATTAATACCCCAATCAGAAACCCTGTTCTTGAGTTTTATTGACCTTAATTGGCCTGATTTAGGTTATGTGTCACCCCTGAACTAATCACACAGGCTGATATCTGACTGGTTTGAGCCATCATTGATTCACTTCTGAAAGTGGAGTATGCCAGTCCTCAAACTATATGCCTCAGCAAATTAGGACTACAGAGGAAGGGAATCGATGTGAGGACTGCAATTTATAAAAGTCCACCATAACTGTGTAGTTTGTAAGTTCTTACCAGACATGCATTTTTATGTATCATTCATACATACATCCATATATACATATACATTATATATGTATATATACAAGGTGTGGCAAAGTAGATTTACAGTTCATGTGGAAAATAATACAATAATTACTACATAATAATACAATAGTAAACTCTGTGTTTCACATACAACTCTAAACCTATTTTTGCCCTACTGTATATTTGTTGCTATGAAATGATAAGATTCCTAAAGGGAAAATAATGACTTTCATTTAATTTCAGTTAATAATGGGACTTGGTACCCAAGGGGCAGAGAAGAAGAGTGCAGCATCTATTGCCTGTTTCTTGGCTGCTAATGGTGCTGACCTTAGCATTCGAAATAAGAAGGGTCAGTCACCGCTTGATCTCTGTCCTGATCCAAGTCTCTGCAAAGCACTGGCAAAGTGTCACAAAGAAAAAGTCAGGTTAGTATTATTTATCATCATGAAACTTAATATTCTATACATAAAGTATCATGTGGTTTCAAAATGGAATATTTGAATACTTGAAAATGGCTTTGCTCTTCCTCTATCTTTTTTCCTTTTTATTTTTTAAAATTAAACTTACTGGGGTGACATTGGTTAATAAAATAATGTAAGTTTCAAGTGTAAATTCTGTAATACATCATGCTCTTCCTCTGTTTTTGGTGACCCTTTCTTTCTTAAAAATTTTCCTATAGAGAGCATGTTTCACTTCATGTTGTATTCTGTACATTATTAAATATAATGCTTTATTTACAGTAAGTTCTAAGAAACTTTTCTAAGTCAGTCTGATCTTCTAGTACTCCTATATGTTAGAGGGATTTATCTATAAGTAAAGGTCTCCATAGTGAAATGGCTGTGATTAATGTTATGTATATTTAAAACTTTAATAGACTCTTCCCAAAAAAGGCACTTAACTTGCTCTCCAACAACTCACATAAATTCTTAATAGTCAAGCAGCCTGCACAGTACCTGATAGGCACTCAGTAAGTATCAGTGAAGAATTGAAAAAGTGAACACGTGTATGAACCAATTCCTGATTGGGAGTTTTTTTGCTAAAAGTAATCATTTCATTCGTGCCTTCTTTTCTAAACGTAAAATGTGACTGATTTAAATTATGATATAACTAAATTTCTTATTATGAAATATAGACTCGTAAAAGGTACATCTTTTTAGTATTTCACCCAAATGATGCTGTACAACTATAATTGCCTTTTGTACCTGGTTCTTGTCATTGAACATTTCAGTAGTTGTGCCTTGACCTTCATGCTCTCTTGCCTCTCTTATAATTTGTATAGTGGTGAAAAGACATCTCTTTGGAATCTGTGCATAGAGCTGTGTTATAGGGATATATAATGAGTTATATACATTTCTTTAAGTGTATCCTTAAGGAGCATGAAATTCTACAAAATGACAGAATGCATCTAAAATATATAGAGATGCGAGATATATAGTTAGTTTACTACAGTAATAACTTTAATGCAGGGGTCTAAGATGAAACTACTTTGTGTGTGTGTGTGCATGCACACACGTGAATGTCCACACACGTTCTGCAGTTTTCTGAAGATTGTAGTAGAAACAGGGTATCCCTTTCCTATAGCTATAGTTGGTCATATATATGTATTTCTGTGTCTTGTATCTTTATGGATGTGTTCTGTTTTCCTATAATAGAATTTTAGCTCCCAAAGGATACCCTTAAATAAATGTCAGAACAGCTGCTGCAATGACATATTTTCCAAAGGGTCCTGTCAGTTGTGGACTCTGATGATGCTTCATTTTATCCTGTCTGTAGTTAGGGTAACTAACATGGACTCTAGTTAGGATTTTTTTTTACTTCTATGACTTTCTCAACTGGTTCTATATAGGTAAAAAATTTCTGTGTGAAACTGTGTTTTTGTTAAAATTTTTAACTAGTGTTTTTTATTTTTTGCCAGAAGATTCACCCTTTCCCATTGGATGGGGACTTGTTCAATTTGTAATTTGAATAGTACTATAAATACATAAAGATACAGTGCTGTACTTAAATAGAAAAATATAATATGCATTATTTCATATACAGATGTTAAACTTAATTTTTTAACATAACTAAAGCTGTTTTTATATATACTAGTGATGCTTTAGATGTTTTTAAAAACATCTTAATTATTGTATTTGTAATATAAATATTCTGATAGGCTTATTTTTTTTTATTAGTGGTCAAGTAGGTTCTCGAAGTCCTTCTATGATTAGTAATGATTCTGAAACCTTGGAAGAGTGTATGGTGTGCTCAGATATGAAGAGAGATACTCTTTTTGGCCCATGTGGACATATTGCCACTTGTTCTTTATGTTCTCCACGAGTCAAGAAATGCCTTATCTGTAAAGAACAAGTTCAGTCCAGGACAAAGGTAATATATTTTTAATACAGTTATTTTATCATTTTATGAAGATCTTTGAGACTACAATTAATGAAATAAAAGATTATATGATGCTATATGTCTATTTAATTTTGTTCTTCCTGTTTTAAATATAGGAATGTATAATTTATATATTTATTCAGACCATTTATAAATTACCTTCTTTATATGTAAACTATAGTAGTTAAAAATAAAAGTAATCTACTGTTTTGCTTTCAAAGCCCCTTATAACCTAAAGTTGTATTTAATTCCACTTTGTATTCTGTCTACTTGTAAATTGCCCCTTTTTTTAGTGCATGGACTATTTTGTATTTGCATGGACTATTTTGTATTGCATTTATCTTTGTAAAAGATTGGTCAATTTTTTTTCTTTTTGTAGAAGGTTACACATTCTGGATTTAACTCTTTTATCATGGCACTAATTTGTTTCTCCATCCACTGTATTTCCTGTAAACTGAAAGATGATCTAATGGCTTGATTAGGGTCAGCTTAAACATTTTTGGCAAGAAAACTTCACACATGATGCTATTCATTTTGTTTAGTTTCCCAGGAGGCAAGTCAAGTTTGATTATCCTGCAATTAGATGGCCAAATTCTTATTCGCTCTGAACTTTCCATCTTGTCTGACTCTTTTGCTTTCTGACAAATATTATTCTTTCCTGGGTTACTAGTTTCATTCTTTTCCCATGTAACTAGTGCGTTATCATAACTGTACAGTCGTATTCATTTTGATTTACTGAAATAATTTTCTTATTTTAGTTTTTCTGTGTGTATTTGTGTGTGCACATGTGTAAAGTGAGTTTTAAGTTTCTCACAAGTGATTTCTCTCACGGTGAATAGCTTAAACCAAAAGATGTATTGGTTTTCTTTGATTTCATTTATAAGGTTATACTTCTTTTTTCCCGTTCTACTTTTTCTATTTTCATTTTTCTCTTGATGCCTCCTAAGCTATTCATTAACCTTTGTTAATTAGAGAGGAGCTGGCACTAATTCTCCTAATGAATTAGCTAGCGGTGACTTAAAAGGTGTTATCTTACCAGTGCTTCACATATTTTCATATATGGAACCTTCTAAGACTGAATGTGTTTTATGATCCAAGTGAATATATCTTTGGTAGTATTTTTGGCATAGAAAAAATACAAGGAAGTTATTTTGGATAGAAAATATTAGAGTATGTGTGTAGCTGCTTAATCTATTAGTAAAGGTGAGGAGGATGAGCAGACAGCACTGATTGTATGGTGGGCACTGTGTTGGCATTTTATATGCATTACCTATGAACCTTGCTTAATAAATAAATGTGGATTATTCTACTTGGCATTTATTATTTGATTTAATTTCCTGCTTACAAAGTAATAGTTTGGGAAAGAATCTGCAAGAATAAAAACCTGAGCCATTCTCTTGTTTTTAGACTGGTCTGTGTATTCTGCTATTGTGCTGGAAACTTTTTGTTACATTAAACCCTGTTTCAACAAATCTTTACTGAGCACTTGTTTTGTAGGCAAGACATAGATGAATATGGTAATTTCTTGCTAAAAATTTATAATCTCTCAGCAAACTATGACTTAGGTTAAAAGTTACTTTGCTGTGTAGGATGTTGGTAGGTACTTTATGACAGATGTAAAGTGAGTTCAGAGCCCCAGGATGTCAAAAGCAGAGTCTCAGATATGGATTGTCTTCTAGTTCAACTCTAGCCTTTACATTTGGAAAAACTGAAGTTCCAAAAGTATGAATAGTTGGATCTTAGTGGAGTTCCCTTGACTCTTAAGTCTCTGTTCTTTTGTGTTATGATACACAGACAAAATGAAAAGCAATGTCTACAAAGGAGGATTGGTAGAACAGGGAGGTGGAATGGAAGGAATATGCCATTATTTCTTTTTTAGAGGAGTTCTAAATTCCAAGAATTAATAAGCTTTCAGTTTGTTTTTTAAACTATGGAATTTTCAAACCTGTAGAAAAATACAAGAACTAACATGCCCCACCAAGTAAATTTGCTAGATTGGTTTCAGAACCTTTAAAGATAAAGAAAGAGTGACCCCAAGTGGTTAAAGGATAATGTACATCTTCAGGGAAGATAAATTATAAAACTAGTGTTTGGAAGAAGGGAGAATAAACAAATATAGTCTCTTCAGCAAATAAAGAAATATAAAATTAAAAATTATGAGTTATTATTAAGCATTCTTGTCAAATTAGTAAAAATAAATAAAAATTCTGTTTAGGAAAGTGGGAAATAGATACTTTCTTAATACTGTTGGGGACTGAATAAATGGCTTCATGTTTTTGAGAGACCATCCTGACAATATACAGGGTCCCCCAGAACTAACGCCTACTTGAGGGTGGTTGGTAGGGTAATAATATGGGTGTAATTATTTACAGTTTTAATTTGAACATTTCACCTAAAATGTCATATGGTGTGCTTCAGTGTGATATTGTTATGTTACAGAATTACATGCTTATGATTTTGTAATAAAAACAGAGTGTTATTTCTGCTGGACCTTGTGTATACACAAACTTTTATAATAAACATGTTTTAATATAGTACTTCCATTCCAGGGACTACAATCAGAGGGAAAATTCCAGAAGAGAGGAAAAGTTATGTTTATAAAGTTTTTTTTCCAGTATTAGGGGATTGGGTAACTAAATTATTAGATCAAATTGTTAGATTATTTTAAATTGTTTATAAACAATTCAGATACATAGACAATTGCATTAGGAACCATTTAAAAAACCAGCACACCATTATATAGAGGGAGAAGAGAATTCTCACTTGTTGAACAGAGATTTCATATTTGACATTGAACTAAACACATTACACATGACATTTAATTTTTTTCATTGTCACATTTTAATCTTTTATTGGCACTTAGTACTACAGTTCTTAAAATATTTACAGAAAGTGCTCCTTACATTACAAATGGCTGGATTAGTAAGAGATCACCCTCCTGTCATCCTTGCTCTTGGAACTTTTGTCCATGTCTCCAGTGGCTAATACCTGGGATTTTCATTTCTTCTTTTACCCATATTCTGCCTACTTTTCTGTGTAGTTTACTAGGCAATCAGATAGATAGCTGACTGACACACCTTTGAAACTTAGCTGTGGTCCTTAGCCTTAGTCAGTCTAATGAGAGAGGAAAACCTTTGTTGGGAGTTGTGAAAAATTAATGTACTTAGCTCAAGCTATGGATCCCTTAGCCAGCCAATCTAGGGTCTTCGTATTTCTTCTCTTTACCCTGCAATTCTAGTGGTGTACTGCTTAGTGTTTGCATTTTGGGGGCTAGATTGCTACACTGAGGGTAACCATTCCTTTCATTGTAATGGGACCTTGAATAGGACCAAAACCTGGATATGTAATCCTAGAGTTAGAAAGAACTCCCCAGTCTTAGTTCTATGAACTGTAGTGTAGGAGACTGAAATTTGTTTCTTTCATCTGTTTGGAATCAATTAGTCAAGTCAGAAACTTAGCAGATATGCTAGACTTTTTCTTCACCATTCATTCCCCACATTTTATTAATTACTAAATCTTCTTAAATAGCTCTCAGAACTCTTTCTACTCTTCCCTGTTGCTATGTCTTAGTTCAGTTATACCCTCACTGTCTTGTATTTAGAATTGTTCAAGGGTACACTTGAAAAAGGGACACTAACTCCTTTCCCTATATTCTAATTTACTCTTTAGAACTCTGTGAAGAAGGGTTGTTCATTAGCATTCAGGTATTAAAAAAGAAAGCTGTGGCTCAACAATGTTAGGTAATTTGTTAGCACTGGAGCCAGAATTAGAATCCAGGAATATAAATACCCTCATCAACCATGTCTTACGGCTTTCCACTATTACTACTATATAAATTCTCTGCACATAACGGTGTACGTTGGAAAGTCCATAGAGAAGGCATGCATGCAGTATTTGGTTGTTTAGGTGAAGTTATAGGTAAGTGGTAGCCATCATTTTGGACAGTAATATTAAATGACAAAATGTGGATAAATGAATTTGTTTCAGAAGGGAGAAGAATAGGCGGAAGATGGGCTTGAAGCTAAGGGCAGTGGCGTGGTGGGGGTAAGAGAAGCCAGAGCCAAGGTTAAGAAATAGTTACACACTCAAAAGTCAGATTAACCAATGAAGAGGAGGTAAAATTGAGGGCAGTTATGAGTAGCTTGTGGAAGACTTTAGAGATCAGGGAGAAATAATAGGCCAAAACATTGGGTTCCCACTAGTGTTGGAGAATTGACCATTTCTTGGAAAAGGGTAATGTTAGGTAGAGTTTCTTAGATATGGATAAACAGAAAAATCCCCCATGGGTTTTAGCAGTCTGGCTAATCTGGCTAGAATTTTATTAATATTAAAAATCTATCTTAATATTAATCATTTGTTCTTTAATCTTTCTCTCAAAAGTAATTTTTAAAAAAGAAAATTGAAGTCTAGTCTGGTCCTCCTGACCTCACAGGAAATGGAATTTTGCTGTATTTTTCTGTAGGATGGGTAGGGAGACTAAAGTGGAGATAGAACCTATTAAGCAACAAGAAAGTGAGAAACTGAGACAGTAGAGGACAGAGACGTATGTATTAAATTTCTCATGCCTAGAGTGTTTCCTTATCGAGGAAATAAGTACATTTGGATAGAAAGGAAACAGGGTTTTATCTGTCGATGTTCATGCTTATGCTGTGTAACTTCTTTTTTTTGTAGATTGAAGAATGTGTGGTATGCTCGGACAAGAAAGCAGCTGTTCTTTTTCAACCATGTGGACACATGTGTGCTTGTGAAAGTAAGTAGCCTATAAAAAACTTCCTCAGTATTATTATAAAAATAGAAAGTGAAACAAAATAACTTTTGATAACTCATGAACAAAAATGTTGGTGGGCCTCTAGGATCTTCTGTTTCTTTCTCTCTACTAGAATTGTCACCTATTTTTTTCTTGGCTCCTGAGCGAGCCCTAGAAGGCTGACTATGCTGTGTTCCACTAGGTTGAATTTTGATTTCATTTGCTTTAGCACAAAATGATCTCTTCTCACACACAATAGAAATTTATTTCTAAAAATGAATGTTGAAAGGTTTTGTCTAGCTCTTTTTCACATAAAATTAGCTCATCTTCAATTGTCTTTACCTTAATATTGCCGCTTCTCTTGCATAATTTCCCCATTACTAAACCACCCACAGCAATAATTGGGGGTTAAAATTTTTAGTTTTCTTAACTGTTCTCAATTTAATCTCTTGTCAAGAAAGTGTATAGAAATCTTTCCTTTGTGAGGTTAATTAAAGTTCAAGAGTTTTAAAATTTGTTTTTAGCCGTGGCTGGGTAGCCCAGCTGGGTGGAGCATTATCCCACACACCAAGAGGTTGGGGGTTTGAGTCCTGGTCAGGGCACGTACCAAGGTTGTGCTTCCTGTCCCTGGTTAGGGCATGTATGGGAGGCAGCCAATAGATATTTTTCTTTCACATTGATTTTTCTTTTTCTCTCTCCCTCCCTTTCTCTCTAAAATCAATAAACATATTTAAAAATTTTTTCATATATCCCCCTTGTTCTTTGCAAGTTTATGTGTTGTTCAATATTAATATTCTCTTCCCTTTACATTTGTCAGTGAAGGATTTAGACAAGTTTAATAAGTTATACCTATTTAAATAGGCCTAAGGTAAAAGCATGGTGTCTCCTATTATAAAATTAGTCAATAAGTATTAGTTTTTAATATATCTGACTAACATACAAATTGTATGATAGATAAATTTTACCAGCCCAGATTTGCTTTAGCCTTTTTTCATTCTTATAGCCATCTTGTCAACTAAAGAAAGGATGGAGGTTTTCTACTTTACCATCCTGCTACAAGTAACTGTTTCTGTTTATCAAGGACTGGTGTGATACCTGTAACCTACTGGCTGGGTGCATGTAGAGAGAGAATTCTGTTTCAAGTTAGAAGAGCACAGGTCATTTAAATTTTCATAGTGCAGGGGTTAACACATTTTTTCTGTAAAGGGTTGACTAATTATTTAGTTTTGTGGGCCCTGTGGTTTCTGTAGTAACTCTTCAACTCTTTCCAACTGCTCAGCTCTGCTATTTTAGTATCAGAAGAACCGTAGACTATGTAAATGAAGGGGTTGGACTATTTTCCACTAGAACTTTCTGTACAAAAAATAGGCTCCTGGTTGGGGTTTGGCCTGCAGAACGTAGTTTATCTGAGTGTTAAATTTAAGTTGTAAGAATGAGCAGAGAAAGGCAACCCTCTTCTTATTCATGTTCTCTTTTGTAAGACGTGTCCTATTATTCTCTAGACTGTGCTAGCCTGATGAAAAAGTGTGTGCAGTGTCGGGCAGTCGTTGAACGAAGAGTGCCTTTCATTATGTGTTGTGGAGGAAAAAGTTCAGAAGATGCCACCGATGATATCTGTAAGTGGATTTTTTGAAGCATTTCCTTTTGGGGGAACTTTCCTGAGCATCCCTTCTCATGTATGGTATACTGTGCTCTTGTAAAACATAAGGAATATGACTCAAATTTACAGAGGAACAGGTAGGGTTTTGCTCTTGTTACATTACAAGAAACCTGAAATATTTTTCTAGTTCATGATATGATTATAGAACTTTAAGCATTAGTTTTTTAAGATACCTCCATTTGTGATACAAAGAATATTATTGTATTCTTGCTTACAGAATTTGCTGTCTACATTTAAGAAAAAATTCAGTGGATCTTGGGTGAACATCATAACATCGTATTACAAATTATTTTTTCAGTTTATATAAGTATTAATTTAACCTACTTCCTATATCTAGCAGGTTTACCTAGAGCATTTGAGTATTTCATGCAATAATATAATTTGGGACAGAGTAACTAACTGTAGATAAACTGAAGTATAAGATAGCGAACAAGTGGAAAGATGAGAAGTAATTTATTTACCTTTAACCTTTTCAGTAGTACAACTGTGTAAAAATATTTTCATCTTTGCACTAGATCTAAGCTGGATGGTATCTTTGATTCCTTTAGTCTGTGTACAGATGAGGAAAACATGAGTGTATCTACTGCCCAGGGATTTTTGTCTTTATCACCAACAGAGCAGAAAAACATTCTAGGGATAGAATCTAGAGAGTAGGAAACGTGAAATAGAAATTTCCCTTCATTTAGTAGACCACTGATCATGGCCTTTCTTCCATGGAGTTGCTCATCTCAGGTCACTAACAACAAGGAGAGCAGGAATAAATGAAGGAGGCTTGCTGCCACAATTAGTTAAAATGCTATGCGGGTTATCTTCTTGGATTTGTACAGTGCAGGCACAGGGAAAACAAGATAAAATGTATTTGCCAAAGAAAGCAAGTAGAGCCTTAGAAAACCCGAAATTCTGGTTGTAGAGTGTTGTCTAGCTGTGTTAAATATAATTAATGCGTGAACCGATTTCTTTTTGAAGATTGTAAATGAAGGAATATGACATGAATGTCAGTACTTTTTTGTTGTCCACATTATTGTGGACAATAAAAAAATATTTAAAGAAGTTTCTAATAATAGTCTTTTGTTTTTAATAAGACAGTAGTAATTTTAGAAATAAGAAAAATCATTGTTGTATCTATATTATAGCAAGTGGAAATATCCCAGTGTTACAAAAGGACAAGGATAATACCAATGTAAACGCAGATGTGCAGAAGTTGCAGCAACAGTTACAGGACATTAAAGAGCAGGTAATGATGATTTCTTCATGGTAAAAATGAGAGTGGCATTTCATATAATTTTATAAAACTACTGGTGTCTTCTGTAATAAACATGGTTCATATTAATGTATCACTTGTAGTATTTGAATGTTTGCAATTAGGTAAAAGCTCATTAAAAGATTTACTCTGGCACTTTCCAAAATAGGAAACACTCAAGTTACCAGTAAACATGAAAAAATGTCAACCACATTAGTAATCAAGAAATCAAAATTAAAACGACTATGAAGTACCTTTTGCTACCCACCAGCCTATATGAAAAGCTCAGTGTTAAAAACTGTTAGTGTTAATAAGTGTTTAGGCAGAAAATGTAGCTGCCATAATTCACAATGCTGGCAGGAATGTAAGTTAGTAAAAAACACATTGGAAAAATTTGTCATTATTTAATAAACTAAACAGGATATTTTGGGAAAGCAAACTTGGGAAAAAATCATACAGATGGCATTTAAAATCAAGAGTAGTGGTTTTCTTGGCTGAGATGTCTGGGGAGGAGGCATTAAGAGAAGTTTCTATATTACTGACAGTCCATTTCTTGATTTAACTATCAGTTACATTCATGTTATCAGTTTGTAAACTTTGATTAGGCTGTACACTTATGATTTGTACATATTTCTGTATAGGTAATGATACTTTAAAACCATACACACACAAACACACCATAAAGGAAAGATAGATGTAAAATTCAGCATAGTAGTTATCAGTGAGGAGTGGCTGGAAAGGATTGGGGAGGATGTGTAGAAGGGCTTTAAAAGGATTTGTCCCGATTTTAAGCTGGGTAGTTGTCATATTGTTCTTTATATTTTATACATACCAACAGAAATGTTCTTCTGTCTACTCGATATTTAATAAAAACAACAACAAAATAAAATTAGCTAAAAGTAGGCATGTGGTAAGAAGGGCTTTTTCCCCCCAACCTCACTATTTGACCCAGTAATTATATCTGATTTAATTCAAAGGATTGAGCTGCAAAGGGTGTTATTTCTTCAGTAGGCAGTTACATCAGTATTGCCATGCAGTGTTAAGAGTCAACAACTTGTCCTTCTGTCTGAATTTGTAAGAATGGAACATAGTTAGTAGATAGTGATGTAGGATAACTAATGACTCTTGTGATAACTAATTTAGAATTAAATGTATATATTTATTAGAAATTTAAACACCTCTCTGAAAAGATGAAAACTATGATTGGGCAAGCTTTTCTTCTGAAATCCAGCACGTAATAATACTTGTTATATAGTAAATAAGTAAAGATATATATGGATTTACAAGTCATTAATATAGGAATATAAAAGTAGAAACATATATAGCTCATTCTAGTATAAAATAAAATGTTTTAAAAATTTTGAAGCTCTTTAGAACCTCAGTTCCTTTTCTATAGACACTTATAGAAAGCTAAAATTGATTTTTGAACACACTTTGTGAAAAGCATTGTGTCTCTTTGATTGTGAATTCAATTGTTTTTGTAATAAACAATGACACCTTATATGGATCCTAAAAGAATAGTTCAGCTCTACCTTTATCTAAAGTTTACTATTCAGAGAAGTTTATTCTTCCTTAAATTATCTTTATTAACATATTTCATCAATAAAGTATTTAAACACTTAAAACAAAATTCATTTTCTGTGCAATGATGGGATTTCTTGTAGGGACCCCTTAAAGTTACAAAGAGAAAGCATTTGAAAAACTGTCTCCTTTTTTTTTTTAATCTCTAATCTTTCTATTATTCTAATGTCTCTTTAATAGACAGTAATTGCTTGTGATCTTATGGATGTACTGGGTGACATTGGTTAGTAAATTACAGGTTTCATGCATACAGTTCTATAACACATCATATGTATATTATATTATGTGTTCATCAGCCCCAGTCAGGTTTCCCTCCATCCCTGTTTATTCTTCTTTTGCTGTGTTCTACCTCCCTTTCCCTTTGGTGATCACCATAGTGTTCTATAGTGATCACCAGCGTGTGTCTATGAGTTTTTTTATTTTTCTTTGCTTAATCCCTTCAACTTTTTCACCTACACCCCAACCCTTTTCCCCTCTGACAATTGTTAGTTTGTTCTAAGTCTGTTTCTATTTTGTTTGTTTATTTTACTCACTAGACTCCACCTATAATTGAAATCATATGGTACTTGTCTTTTTCTGACTTATTTTCCTTAGCATAATACTCCTCAGGCTTATCCATGGTGTCACAAAAAGTAAATCTCCTTCCTTTTTTATAGCCAAGTATTATTCCATTGTGTAAACGTACCACAGCTTTTTTTATCCACTCATCTACTGATTGACACTTGGGCTGCTTCCAAATCTTTGCTATTGTAAATAATACACAATGAACATAAGAGTGCATATAGTCTTTTGAATTAAGTATTTCAGGTGTCCTTGGATTTATTCCCAGAAGTGGAATTGCTGGGTCATATGGAAGTTCCATTTTTAGTTTTTGAGGTAACTCCATATTGCTTTCCACAGTGTCTGCACCAATCTACATTCCCATCAACAGTGTACAAGGGTTCCCCTTTCTCCACATCATCGCTGACAGTTGTTATTTGTTTATTTCTTATGCATGCTTGTTTGTTGATTTATCAATGATAGCCATTCTGACAGGTATGAAGTGATACCTGGTTGTGGTTTTAATTTGCATTTCTCTGATGATTAGTAACATTGAGTATCTTTTCATATGTCTGTTGATCCTCTGTTTATCTTCTTTGGAGAAGTGTCTATTCAAGTTTTTTGTCCATTTTTTGATTGGATTGTGTGGTTTTTTTGGTGTTGAGTTTTATAAGTTCCATAAATTCCTTCTAAATTTTGGATAGTAAGCCCTTATCAGGTGTATTGGTGAATATGTTCTCCTGTTCAGTGGGTTGTCTTTTCACTTCGTTGATGCAAAATATATATGAGTCACATGACTCTAGTCCACTCTGCCCTCCCTCCATCAGAGACCAGAGTGAGTGGCTATGAAGGAAATTTTGTGTATTAGCCCTTTAAGATAGTGCATATGTCCCTAGTGGACTCCCATCTCTTTTTGGTGGATAGAAACCCTTCTATGTTCCACAGCCAGATGTCATGTGGGCGCCTCTTCCTGGCTCTGGTCCTCTGGGTCAGGGAGCCCAGTTTGGGGTTTAGGCCCCACGCTTTTCGGGAACTACCCTGTAGCTGAGATACCCCATAGGAGTGGGCCCAGCCCTTTTCACATCTCTGCCCTTTCTACCAGTCTTGCTGTGTCTTCTGAAACTCTTGGTTTTAAGATTCCTCTTTAGCTATTTTCAGTTGATTATTCAGGATGATTGTTCTTAAATTTAGTTGTAATTCCAGTTTGGTCCTGGGAAGAGGTTAGTGCAGTGTCCACCTGTTCCAGCACCATCCTGAAATCATGACCCCATTTTTTATATGCTTTGTTTTTCTACAATGATTTCTGGTATTATCAAAGTTGTTAGCTACATTTTCATGTAGGCTTCAGGTCTTATTTATTAATCTAGATGGTCTCATTTAAATATTTCACTTATATATTATTTGGGAAAAGTGTAATTCAGAATAAATACTATAATACAGAGGTGGGCAAAAATAGATACAGTTCTTTGTATGGAAAATAATACAATAATAAATTAAGAATAGATTCTTGTGTTTGACATATAACTGTAAGCCTACTTTTGCCCCACCCTGTATGTTTAGGTAAAAATGTTTTTATAAAATACAAAATGTAAAATGTGTTTTGTAAATGAATATGTGATTTCCAAGAGTGTTTCACAGAAGTATATCTGTCATACTTCTTAAGTCATTTTTCTAAGTTCATGAAGTCAGATTTATTGATATGTAGCTAAGACTAATAGCTTTTTACTAAGGAGATATACATTGATAGTAATGCAGTGCAGCATAATGTTTAAAATCAAGAGCTCTGGGCCCATGTGACTTGAGTTCCTCTTATGGCTTACTCTGGGGAAGTAAAAACTTTAAAAAACCCCACTAAACCTCAGTTTCCTCTTTTTTTAAAGTGGGAGTGATAATAGAACTGATATTGTATCATATCATAGTGCTTGGCATGTGTTCTTAGAGACATCTATATACTTTCTCCTTTCCCAGAAGGCCTGATGCATTGTGTTATTGTTATACAAGAACAGCATAGTACCTAAGAGTTGCGGAATCTGAATCAGACTGAATGGAGCTGTTTACATTAATTCCCTGTTAGATTTTGGCATTTGTGTGTTTGTTTTACGTAGTATTTTTTATATATTATTTGTTTTCTGTAGTACCTTTTATACTGTTCTGACAGTACAACCAATATTTATATTTTATAGAGGTGATATTTTAACTATTCAAAATTTTTTCAGAATTTAAGCAACAAAAGATTATTTGACTACAACAAAAGAAAATAATGTTACATAATTGTCTCATGTTATGCCTTCAAAATATAAAATGTCTCAGCTTTATTTTTTATCTCCCGTTCCAGACAATGTGCCCTGTGTGCTTGGACCGTCTAAAGAATATGATTTTCCTCTGTGGCCATGGAACGTGCCAGCTCTGTGGAGACCGAATGAGTGAATGTCCCATTTGTCGCAAGGCTATTGAACGAAGGATTCTTTTGTATTAACAAGAAACTCAGTGTGTTTTGTTAGCTGAGGTGTTTGGTCATGAGATCTTAGTAAGCTTTTAAGCTAGTTGGAAGTTGTAATGAATTAATTTTTAATATTATAGTTTCTTTACTAGAGTATTACGAGACTGTAAATGTACCAGAACAAAAAACTCTAATACAAATAGTGGTTGAAGTCTTGTTTTTTTTTGTTTGTCTTAATTTGAAATATGAAATCCATATACTCGATAGGTAATTTACTATTGGCTAAGGGGAAAAATCCTTTAAAAATCTTTTACAAATTTATTAGACTTTTGATACAGTGAGTTAACACAGGTACTCAGAAAAGTTAGGGCCACTGAGGCACTAAATGAAAGGGGCAAGTCAAACCATTGTCACATAAATCAAGGAAATATTGAAGAGAGACTTCTTTTTGAGATAAACATCAAGTTATTCAAATGATTGTTTCTGAATTCTTAAATGGAAGCATAGCATGAGAGAATAATGACTTTGCATTAATCTTATTTTTCTAGATTTAAATGGCAAAGGAAACTTGAATCCAGTTGCCAGTTTCAAAATGACTGGTAGACATGAAAAGGAAAAATAAAATATAATGAGGAACTGAAGGGAAGAAAATTATTCAGTCACAGAGTACCTATTAAATGACTATTAATAGTTGCCTTTCTTATATTAATTTATACACTGTTTTTTGTAGCCAGCCTTTAAAAAAAATGCCTGTGAAAAGTATACCTCAGATTTCCCTGTGTTTACTTATCCAGCTTTGATCTGCCTGGTGAAATGGTAATCCCCTAATTGGCCTCTGAGGTTCGATTCAGCTTTTCTAATATACTGAATAGTGGTACCCCAGTGATCTGAGGAGGATAATGCACTGTCTGGCATCTGCAGTCCTTTCTTCTCCATATCTATTAATTCTGACAGTGATTCTGGTTCTAGGCCTGGGTTCCATTCTCTCTCAGATAGTAAAGCTTACTATAAAGAAAACAGTCTCTCTCTCTCTATAGGCAAGGATATGATTTAAACTGCCAACAATATCCAAGACGTAGTAAATAGCCTAAGAATGAATACTTACTTACTTTAGAAAGAGCGACTAGGACATTTAGAGAGATATGTCCAATTACCTGTAAATTTTTTTTAACTTAAACTTTGACTTTAAAGCATCTAATCATTTTCTCTCCTTTGAATGAGTAATCTTACCTAGGATGGCTGTACACATAAACAAGTGTTTTGGGGTTCATTGCTGCTAGATCATTAAGATTATCAGCTATTTACAATAGTGTCTAGTATGTACTGTGTATAAATGTACTCCTAAGAGTAGTTATCTTACAGCTTTTTTCCCTCTTTGAATCTGATTCTTAAGTCAGTTTTTCTGTTACAACAACTTAACTCTGAAAGTACAAGGTCTCTAGGCCTCATAAAATATCATATTTCTGACTATTGAATGGCTGCTGCCATTATAGGTCTTGGTGAAAACAATGGTGAGCTTTGCTGGATGATTTTATAGTCTTGGTAATTCCATATCTGTGTTCAGTGGAGTCACATCGTTTAGAATGATAAAATTTTTATAAATTTACATTTGAAAATTTATATTGACTCCACTCAGTTATCTAATAAATGGCCATGGAGGCTATTTTTAAGCCATATTTTGAAGTTATGAAAAGAACATCTGACTGACAATATTTGCATAAAGAGACAAATAAACTATTTTCTTTCAGGTTTGAAAACAGTGGAAGTCCAGATTTTCCTTTTCTTTTATGCCCTAGATCACTCATCTCTGTTCCTTAGATCTGCTGGGAAGCAGGGAGCAACTGGGTGACTCTGCATAGTTTGGCCAGCCAGAGAATTTTATGGTCTGGATCTCTACTTAAAACCTTTTTATTTGTCTTCTGAGCTGCAGTGCTAAAATTTATACTCCTGACAGGCTATTTCATTTTCCAGACTTGTTTATTTCCACCATATTAAGGAAACAATAACTTAAAAACTTAACAGAAGTTACAAAGTCACTATAATTATAGTGTTATGCAATGGTGGATTTCCTCTATTTGTACCACTTTGAAATTTACTTAATGAATAGAAAATGTTTCTCTACTCACCTTTTCAAGCACCTGAAATTTTTTTTTAAATTTATTTTGGGACTGTGAGAGAGAATAAGATTAAGAACTTAATTGCTTAAATGACTTTCCTCTAACTCTGTGAAACTGCTACCTCTTATTATATATGTCAGCAGTGCTTTCCCAAATAGGGATGTTTCCTCCTCATCGTCATGTCTTTATCTTATGCCTCAAAGAGCTTTTACTTTTCCTAGAATTAGTTAAAAAAGCAAAACTGACATACATTCATTAAAAAACATATTGGGCTTCAGGGGATAGATCCATGACGTTGAAAAAACAAAGAACAGCATCTTAACACATAGAGAATTTATCATGCAGCTGTATATTTGAAATAACCTGTAGACAAAAAGAAGGGATCCTAAGGTACTGATGGCATTTCTTAAGGTTTTATAAGAATAATTGTTAAGTAGCATTTGGACCCCCTCTTTCTCCTTCTTACTCCTACCACATTTTCTTCTTTATTCTTCTAAGATTGTCAATTTTGTTACTGAAAACATACAACTTAACAAATGGTGGTGCTATTCTAATTGTTTTTCTTAATATGTATTTAATTTTGCTGGGAGCAAGAAAGTTATTCAAGAAAAAATCATTTTGTATTAGTATAGGAATATTATATCACGCAAGTGTTTAGCTGGCTGAATTATGCTTTTTATAGTTTTAAACATTGCAGTGAGGAATAAAATTAATTGATAATGTTGAAAATAACTTTCTTAAATTTATATCTGATGGTTTTAGCCTCTAAGACCATTTTAGCATATTGAAATGCATGTTGCTTAAGATTTGTCCAGTTCAAATTTCAAAGCTTCATTTTTACATGGTAGAAATATACCATTTAGTTATATTGCCCAATTGCTGTTTTTTGTTTATTATGAATTGTGGATCCTTTGGACTAGGAATTAAATTTATGAACTAAGAGAATTAGTGATGGGGTAGAATAGAAAGGAGAGTAGGGGGTTGCAGCAAGAAAGAAAGAAATATCAATGTTAAATAAGTGGGGACAAGGGGGATTGTGTAGATTTCATCAAAGCAGTAATAGAGAAAGTGTATTTAATTGAATAATAGAAAGGGTCTTTCAGTCAGTTTTCAATGTAGTTTAATTGATAATTGCTTTGTAAACTATAGACTTTAATACCACTTGCTTTAAAAAAAACCATAAGGAAAAGCACTTCTCAAAGTGTCTAAAATATTTTATAATAATAATTTGTATAAAAATTGAATTTTGGAATAGAATTTTTTGCATTTTTTTATTGTGGTGAGAACACATAACCTGAAATTTACCATCTTAACCAATTTTAGTGTACAGTTCAGTAGTGTTAAGTAAATTCACATTGTTGTGAAACAGATCAGATCTTGAAAAGTTGAAACTTGATACCCATTAAACAACAAGCCCCCCCCATGTGGGATCAGATTTTGATGAAATATAAAAAGGAACACCTGAATTATCTTAACAGTTTGTGTTTGCGAAATCCAAAGTCATGGTAAACATCAAGTTCCTAAAACTTGGAGGGTGACAGAATTTCTTCCTTTTCCCCTTAAAATTATCATCATTCATAATTGACTAGGTTTTAAATGTCTGTTAATTGGAAGGGTTTGTAAGTTCATTTTGAACCAGAGGGAAGAAACACATTTTAAACATTAGAATTAGTTTAGCTTTGAATTTGTACTCAATTGGGAATGTAAAAGATTATCACAAATTATGTGTGCCTTGTTGAAAATGTCAGTTTTCTTTAAGTTTAAATGTAACTGTTTCAAAATTTTTTTTCTCTCAAAAAGCAACCTAAGTTTATTTGCTTGACTATTATGATAGGAATGCTTACTGATATTACTTGATAATCATATATAGCCTTGGAGCTTTCACATATATATAAAACTATAATCGTATTAATAATTACAGCTGTACTTCTTTAAAACATTAAATTTGAGGAAAAATTATTCAGTGCTGCCTCATGTGTACGTTGCTTTGCTACAATGAGGGGGAAACCCTTTAGATTGAGCCTCAGTTTACTGCTAAATGGTTAGTAGTGGGGGAAACTGGAGTGTTAAAATATAAACTAGATAGTGGAGCTGATGAATTAAAATTGTAGGTTGCTATATTAGCATTTCTGCCTCCTTTTCTATTAGACTATTATTTTTTTCCAGCATTTATTCATGTTTGTGACTAAGGAGGAGATGGAAACCCAAGGCTAAAATTGAAATTTTTATTTTGTTGAGGATTTAAGCAGTTGGTTCAGGAAAGGTGACTTGCCACATCAATTTGGTGCCTAAATCCATAACTACAGTCTAATTGATACATCTAAAATGTGTAAGAAAGATGGTATTGCTGAATATTTTACTTTTTCTATACAGTCTCTTTGATTTTTTTTCATAGACATGACTTCTTTTCTCCAAAAAGCAAAATTATCTTTTAATTTTCTATAAAATAAACAAATATGCCACTTTGGCTGAAATCTGTAATTTCAGGAAGTTGGAAAGTTCAGTTCTGTCTCAGGGCTTTTTAACAGTTTAAGCAATTGGTAGTTACATTTCAGAAGGTTCATCTACATAATTCTTCAGTGCCTTGAAAGAATTATTAACCTGGCAACACTAAAACTTAATAGAAGGCATAGTGTGCAGGTATGCACATGTTTTTAAGTTGTATTGCTTAAGCTTGCGTAATAGCGATACTGTGCGTGTGCTGGGTTTGGGTAATTCTTTAAAGGAAGTTTTCTAGAGTTGCACTTGATAGTTTTTTTAACTGATTATTTGTGGCCATGACACTTACCAGAAAAGTAATTCTACGTTAAGTCATTATGCAAAGTCATGTATAAGATGCTTCTCAGAAAAGGAGTTAGGGTTCAGTTTTCCATTTTAATATGAAATGAGGATCTGTTTGGTTAACCCAGATGGTCTTCCTCTCAGATGAAAAAGAGGCCTTTTGTTCAAGTGATTTGGTTTTAAAGAAATTTGAGGGGTGGGAATGGAAATTACAAATTGCATGTTATTCTTTTGCTAGTATTACTGCTAGCCTTAGATTGAATCTACAAAATTGCTTTTAAGTTCTGTATATTTGTGTCATTCTAAATACAGTATATTCAGTAATAGAAGGCAATTTAATTGATTCAGCAGTGTTTTGCTTTGTACTTTTTCTGGTGGCTTTTAGCTTTCAGTTGATTAAATTTAAAGTCCTGTTTGTGAATATAGTTTTTGTATGGCAAATGATTCTTGCTTATTAGCTTTTTTTAAAAGGGTGCTTAGTAAGAGCTCAGCTTTTAAAAAATAAATGCAAACATTTACCATTAATAAAAGCTATGATGTAATATTGTAATGCTTTCTTCTCATCTTTTGAAATTATTCTTCATAGACATACACATAAATTTTGATTCTTAAAGCATTTGAAAACAAATCTCAGCATATCAAATCTTTTATTATTAGGAAAGAAATTTTCATGTCTGAGAAACAGGGACACACATATCTAGTTCAGTAAGATACAGGTGTCCACATCTGGAAGGCCAAAATTAACAATAATGTTTACATTTAAGGTATCTCTTATCTAATGGGCCAAAGAAGCTTCTCTTATTTTAACACCTCACACTCTTTCAGGATTAAGATATATTGTGAAAGTAGTCTAAATAGGATAAATTTGAAAGAAAATCAGTTAGTTAGGAAGAGTCAACTTTTTTAATAAAAAGATTGTTCTTATTCACAACTCAGGTGTAGACTTCATTTTCACGAGTACATTTTAAAGCAATGTACTAAATAAAGCCAAATAAATCTTGTGACTAAATTAGTAATTGAATGCTTTTAGGGTTACTTTATTTTCAAGTTAATAGAAGCACTTATTTTTGATGTTGCTAAGGGGTTGTCTAGTTGAGTTCAAAAGACTATGTATCTTGGATGTTTAAGAGGAAAACCATCTGAAGCAATTTTCTTAAATTGTTTAATTGAGAAAATATGTATTTCAACTTCAAAATTGTGAATTTCTTTTTGGATAATCTCTAACTGTATTTTTCTTTTTCCATTGCTGTATAATTAGATTTGTGGGAATATTTTATTAAATTGAAACTCTGTATAGGTTTTCAAAATAAAACCATTTTAGAAAATCTGATTTATATATTTTTTATCATTAACAAGTATTCATCCTTCACAGAAGTTAAAATAGTTGTATAGTGTAGAAGGTCCCAAACTTACAAAGAAAACTTTTAAATTGTGTATTGCAGAGTAGTGATAGGCATTTGTAAGATAGTGCGAGAATGCATCTGAGATAAATTTGTTGCTGAAGGATGATCATTTGGTTAATAGTTTTCCCCTTTATTTTATTTTTTATTGAATTTATTGGAGTGACATTGGGTAATAAAATCACATAGGTTTCAGGTGTACAGTTCTATGATCCTAGTTTTCCCCTTTATAACAAAGCTAGGTGATAAATTCATTTTTATTTTGGCAAGGATAAAAGAGATGATAAACCTGTAAGTATAAGGCAAGGCCAAGAACAGAGCCCAGCAAGATGATGATGATCGGTTGACGAGACGGTTAGTCCCTGCTGCCCTTGTACTAATGCTCTAGTCCAACAGTTTTCAACTGGTGTGCCGCAAGGATTTTTAGAACATGACTATGTAGTCAGGGGCACTGACCTCTTTTCCTTTAGATTGTCGAATACAAAAATATGACAACAGCCAGCACAATAACCGTCTGATGTGAAAGAATCAAAATGATAACTTTTTTGTCAGAGGCAAAAATGTATTTTTTGGTGTGCTACAGTATTTTAGTAATTAGTGTATTTGTGCTGTGAGATGAAAAAGGTTGGAAGTCTCTGCTCTGATCAAATGTCATGCTTTAGCCCTGGCCAGGTGGTGGCTCAGTTGGTTGGAGCGTTGTCCTGTACACAAGAAAGTTTGCAGGTTTGATCCTCAGTCAGGGCACATCCTGGATTGTGGGTTCAATCCCTGGTCAGGGCTCATGGGAGAGACAACTGATTGATGTTTCTCTCTCACATTGATGTTTCTCTCATTCTCCCTCCCATCCCCTCTCTAAAATCAGTGAACATATTCTTGTGTGAGGATTTTAAAAAATGGCATGCTTTTTATACCAGGTTTTTGCAGTCTCAGATGTGGCAGCTGAGAGGCAGATTTTCAAGTCAATATAAATATTTATTATTTCTAATATATTTAAGAATATTACCCTCTCTTCTTATTTCCATAAAACCACTTAATGTCTTGAGTGGAGCACTATATAAAGTTTGGGAAAAACTTATCAAGGTGAAGCTAACTTTGATTTAATAGGAAAAGCAGTCAAATCAGAGAGCCTTTGGTTACTGACTGTGACCAAGCCATACTGCATAAAGTGGTGTTCAAGATTATATGCTCTTAATACATGTTTTAGTACAAGAGTATTCCATTGGATTGGCTAAAAAGTCTGTTTAGTTTTTTCTGGATAAGACACATTTTTCATTTTCACCAATAACTATTGATTTGGCTATTTTGAGTACATCGGCCATCTCCCATGTAGAATAACATTGATTGTTCTCCATTAATGTCTTGATTTGATCACTATCAACTTCAACTGGTCTACCCAATGATGGAGCATCATCTAGTGAGAAATCTCCAGCACACAACTTCGTAAATTGCTTTTGACACATTCTGCCAGTCATAGCACCTGCTCCATACACTGTACAAATCTTTGTGTTTCGTGTTTCAGTTGCATTTTTACCTTTCTTTTTTTTTTTTTCAAGATTTTATTTATTTTTAAAGAGGGAAGGGAGGGAAAAAGAGAGAGAGAGAGAGAGAAATATCAATGTGCGGTTGTTGGGGGCCATGGCCTGCAACCCAGGCATGTGCCCTGACTGGGAATCGAACCTGCAATGCTTTGGTTTGCAGCCCGCACTCAATCCACTGAGCTACGCCAGCCAGGGCCATTTTACCTTTCTTGAAATAATAAAACATAATATGCTAAGAATGTTGCACATTTTCTTGCATCTTCAATATTAAAATGGCTACACAAAAATTCACAAATTTTGATTTTTTAATGCACGCTGATATGACAGCTGTCACCATACAACCTAACAAAATTGTTTCGAAGAAACTTAAATGCTACTAGAGCCATCTTATGGAAAATACCAAACCTTTTTGGCCAACCCAGTATTTTGTATTGCTGTTCTTACAAATTGCCATGAACATAGTGGCCTAAAACAATAGAAATTTATGATCTTACTGTTCTGGAGGTCAGAAGTCTGACGTGACTCTCCTTGAGTGAAAATCAAGGTGTTGTCAGGGCTGTGTTTCTTTCTGGAGGCTCTGGGGGAGAAGAACCCACTTTGCTCATTTTAGTTTCTGGAAGTGGCCCACATTCCTTGGCTTCCTTCCATCTTCGATGCCAGCATCAGGAGTTTGAGTCTCACACTGCACCACTGACATTGTTTCTTATGCCGCCTCCACTTTTCAGGACCCTTGTTATAGGATTGGGTCCCCTGGATAATCCAGGGTAATCTCTTCATTTCAATTTTAGTTGATAAGTAACCTTAATTACTGCAAGCTTTATTCCCTCTTGCCATAACATATTAACATAACACAACATAACGTAATGTAACATTTTCCAGGGACCACGTCATGGCCATATTTTGGAGGGAAGGGGCATTACTCTGCCCACCACAGGTATAAATGGGAATTCGGGCCTGTATTACTAAATATTCTACAGGGAGAGTAGATGTTCTCAACAGTAGAACATCTGGTATGTCCAGAACTGATATGATTTCATTGAAAGGTTAATTAAATCTACCATGATTAGCAGAAGTAACATGTAGGCAGTTCCTCGATGATGAATGTGGGATGAATCTCGAAATAATTCACTTAAAATTTTGAGTGATCTAGAGGAAAGTGTTAATGATATCTTTGTTTATAAATGTACTGGTATGTTACATGCTGTTTCTTATTCATTTTTTATACTGATAATCTTATAATTACTATGGCTCAGTTATCTGTATGTTTGGAAGATTCCTGATTCTATATCATAAGGTTCTTATTTCCAGCTTCCTTTGGGCATAGTTGAACAGATATGCAGGCATCTCAAACCTAATATGTCCCAATCTTAAATAGATTATTCCCAATATACTTGTATTAATCCTATTATTACCCAGTTTCTTAAAATAGAAACTTAAGTCATATTTGACTACTTTTTAATTTTATTAAAAAAATTTTTAATTGCTGTTCAAGTACAATTGTCTCCATTTTCCCTCCACCACTACTCCCTACCCCAGCCATCCCCACTTCTCACCCTTGATCCTACCCCCCTTTGGTTTTGTCCATGTGTCCTTCATATGTGTTCTTGACATATTTGACTACTTTTTATCATAGCTACTTAATTGCTGGGCCCTGTTATTGCTTCTTTGGAAATACCTCTTAAGTCTAGTCTTCACCTCCACTTCCCCTCCAGCTCTTTCTGGATAATTTCAGACGTGTTCTACCTGGTCCTGCTATGAAGGCCCCTTCCTGCTTCACTCTTGCCTCTGTGTGAAACTCAATAGTTACTGTCCTTCAAAAACGAGTTTGATTTTGAAGTTTCTGGTGTATTACCTGAGGAAATTAGAAGTTGACATCCTGTATCCTCACCACAAGAAAGAAAGCTGTACAAACTGAAAATCAACAACGATCAGAGAATTGAAGTCATGGGGCCAGCCACTACTTTGGAAATTACAGACACAGGCACACAGGTGCAGTGAGGCACAGCCTGCTGGGGCAGAAACCCAGGAGCTGAAGCTCATGCTGGAACCAGCACTAGGACAGAAAACGCTAAACTAATTGACCAATTGCTGGAGGCTCCGTGTGGACAAACCCGAGAGTTAACAGCTCCACAGGGCCCCCACGCTGAATCTTACTGCTCTGAGGCCTATCAGGTTCTCACAGTGAAGGTCGGAGAAATGTTTCCTGTGCTTTTGGTGTGAAGAGTGGGAAAGCATCCGTTTTGACACACCCAGAGCATCTTGTTCACCTCAACAAGGCCTGCCCTTCAGGGAAACTATTCTGCCAGAGCCTGACAGAATACCTGACTCCAGCCCATGCTTCTACTTAGGGAAGACTGGTACCTAACTCCAGGCCCCTGTAGCCTTTCTATCTCATCTAAGGGGACAAATACTTGAGAAGCACTTGTGAAGGTGTCAGCTTAGGGACAGATTCACTAAAAGACTCAGACCAAATCATAGGACATTGAATGCTGTCTGAAATGCCCCTTCTCTCCACCTTACTGCCTTACTGCCTTGTAGCCCATCCTCCCAGGAATGCTGAGGGCTTCTTATTCCAAAACATTAGGAACCTCCAACTGCAGGTTAGAAAAACA